GCTCTTGCAGTTAATTAATATCATGTATTTTTTGCAATGATTTAGATTATGAATGAGTGAATTAGTTAAATTAGCTAATTAAATGGTTAAGCTTAATCTTTGGTTTTCATTTGTACAAATGAATCTGTTGTATTAATCGTGATTAAAATTGCTGTAAATCCCTGGATTTGGTGATTAGCTGATGATCATTGGTGAAAAATGATGAGGAAGACAAAAAAATGAGTAAACATTATCAATGTTAAATAAGGATGAGGAGGGAAATGATAATGATGATTAGGAGGATGGAGATGGTGATAAGGATGAGGATGAAAGTGCAAAGAAGGTTAAAGTTTGGTAAATGGTTTTTTTTGTCTGTGATATTTGGTTAGATCTGGAAAGATGAATGGATAACAGAGAGAGAGAGAGAGAGAGAGAGAGAGAGAGAGAGAGAGAGAGAGAGAGAGAGATGATGATGATGATGATAGAGATTTAGGAAAGGGTATCAAAATGGCGACTGTTTTTTTCTGTAGACTGAGATGAAGGAAGATTAAAGTTTTATCATCTAAATGATGTTCATTTGTAGTTTAAACCATTAATTATTGTGATTTAATTGAATGATTAGGATAATCAATTGACTTTAAATCTTGTAAAGTTTAAATTACAATAAACAAATTGTCTAAAATTAACTAATTACAATTTGAAATTGATTGTGGAGAGAGATAAAATTTTACAAGAATAACATTCAATTATTATCATCGGTTGATTTAATGATTAATGAGACCAAATATTTAATCATCATCACCATGGTGTAAATTAAAAGGATGAAGATGAAGATGAAGACTAGTTTACAGTTGAATGAACAGAAAATATTCAAAACAAAAGTCAATCATGTAAACATGATGATAATGATGATCATCTTGTTGATATTACAATAAAATAAAGCTCATTGAACTTGAAGATTGTAATTGCAATCAAATAAATTGTTGATAATGCAAATGTAAATCAAATTACAATTGCAATTTAAACCTTAATCAAATGGAAATGCAAGTGAAAACAAATTAACAATCAACTCGTATTGTAATTATTTCACTTGCAAAATCAATTTCAAGAAAACATAAAGAAACAGATCAAGTTAACGGTTAATCACAAGTTAATTATAGTGAAAAAAACTGACCAAAGGTTTTGATTCTTGACCTGAAAACAAAACGAAAGTCCAACCGAAAGGTCGTGTCTACATACATTTTCCCATAGACTGAGACTGTCAGGTCATCTTGTTACTCTAAGAAAACCGAAGTGGCTTTTAAACTTTGAACCGGTTTCGCTTTTGGGTTAACCTTGGGTTTCTGTGTTCTATTTCAGGTCACAATGTTTACCCAAAGTCGTTATTAAGGTTAACTTACTTTTCAATAGTTTCTATTCAATTTTCAAATTTTCTTTTCACCAAAATAGTTTAGAGACCAAAATATAACAAGGATAATCCATATGAAAGGCCAGTTTTTGGTTCCTATTTTTTGGCCCCCGAAAAAGTTGAGGCTACTTTTTCTGCTTCTTCACTTTCGCCTTTCGTGATATTATTGGTCAAATTCATCGTCTTATTTTGTATTCTGATTATTTGCTTTGTATTAACTATTCAATTAACGAGGGAATTGACTGATCATAATTAAATTTCATTCTCATCTCTATGGTTTAGTTTTTACTTTGATTCTCAGTTAATTTGGACTTTTGGTGTTTCTCTTGATTAAGAAGAAAGTTAATCAAGAAGAAAGAAAAATTTAATTAACTATCATTTGGATAAGACAATTGAATTTCGAGATTGCAATAGTTAATCAAGAAAAAGAATCACATTAATTTGATATAAATTAACTGATCATGTTGAGTGAATACAAATGATTAACAATCTGATTTAATTAATTTGCTGCAATTAACCAGTAATTTAATTCAATTCAACACCATAATTGTTAAAACAAATCAAATGATAAACAAGAGTAAACAATAAACATCAACTTAAATCATAGTTTCAGATGATTAATCACAATAATAATAATTGAATTAACCAGTAATTTAAAAAGCCCATGTTGTTAATTGTTGAGTGATGATTGATTGTGATTATAAACAAACACAGATAATTTCATGGTATTAATCACTTTTTAACACACAAATTTACAATTAACAAAATGCATTCACAATTAGCATTGTGAGTAAATTATGCAAACAATAAGTTCATTTGTCTCAATTGTTTTTCCAACATGATGATGATGAATGAAAAGTTCTTGAATCAACTTACCATGCATGTCTTGGCTTCTTCCGGTATTGAGTTGTATTGAGCGTCTTTGTATCAGCGGAACCACAACGATCGTTACTTAACATGGCGACTTCGGTTGATGAGATTGTCGTCTCTTGATCGCCCGAATTTGAATTCCTATCCTGACAAGAAATCTCCAAAACAGTTTCACCAACACATGAGGTGAACATCTTTTCCCACATAGTTCCTGGAAGATATCCCACTTCCGGCTGTGTAACTGTCACCAAAGATGATTGACCGTTACTTTTGGGTGTCTCTTGGTCCAATTTTCAATAACAATAGTCTCTATTAGCGGCGTTAAATTCAAACCAATGGTTTGATCGTCTAAAAGTCCACTTGAAGTCACTTTGATTTTAGAAATTTTAATTCTAATTGAAATTAATTTACCTTTAAAGTTGTTTCAGTTTTACCTTTGTCACTTTGTCACTAAGTCACTTTGACAGTTTGTCAAGTGTTGATTGTTGTTCAATGATGATTAAGTTTAAGTGAAGAAAAATATTCACCAATTGAGTTTAAATGACACAAAAAGTTGAATCAAATGTTATCATGTAAACAGGATTTACAAATTAGAAAAGCTCAATGGATAATTAGTTGATGATGCAAATGATGAGGATGTGATAATCTCAGCATGAAGAAGATGATGATTAGAAAACAAGAAGATAAAGAAAACCAATTGATGCTTTTTGATGATTGGATATTACAAAGATGATGAAGAAGCTCTGTTTCTATGGCATTTACACAACATTGACCAGAGTCCGATTAACCGCGTTTCTTTTGGCCTCTTGTTTTTGGTTCCTTCCCAATCTCTCTCTTTCTTTCTTTCTTTCGACCTCCCCTTTAACCACTCCCATATACACAACGGACTTTAACATAACCCAGAGAGAGAGAGAGAGAGAGAGAAAGAGAGAGCCAAGGGAAGAAAGAAAGAAGATGCTTTTTAGTTTCGCCCCTTGGAACATTTTTCTCTTTCTCTTTCTAACGGCCATTTATTCCTTTCGATTTTTTCTTTCTTTCTCTTTCTCTTTTGCTTATTTTGACTTTTCTCTTACAAAACAATCTCAATGATGATGAAAAATTTAGTGAGATAAGAAGAGAGTTGGAGGAGTGAGACAAAGAGGCAAAGATGATGAAAGAAAGAAAGAAGAGGAAAAACAAGTGAGAGATACAAAGAAAATGAATAGAAAGCGAGAGAGAGATAAGGTGAAAAGGCGAAGATGATGAGAGAGAAAGAGAGAAAGAAAGAGAAGATGATGTTTTCTTTTCATCTTCTTCTTGTCAATTATCATTTTCTATTTTTTTCCTCTTACTCTTATGGTTTCCGTTGATTAACTTTTATCATCACTGCCCCAGGGAATAAATATCTTACATGCAAGACAAAGATGATAGAAGATGAAGATGAAGATGATAAGATTTCAATAAGAGTTTATCTTCATCATCACAACCTTGAGACTAACAAGAAAGGTGAGTTTACACTTTTACCTTTAAACGAGATGAAAAAAATTTGCTTCTGTTTTTATCCAACTAACATATTAACCTAAATAATAATAAACAAGTTTCCAAATCAAATTATCAAACTATTGAAATTAACCATGAAATTGTTTTCACCAAATTGCAAACAATTAGCTAATCATCAAGTTAATTATATCCATATAAATGAATTAGCATCTTGATCCTTAAACTCTGAGGATGAAAGGGAATTGATTAAAATCATGATTCTGTTTAAATTTGATACAATTGATTATCACTGAATTAATTAGTTTGCTTGTAAAACAAATTGTCATCAATACAATTGAGTATCAAATTGCTCAAAGTGATACTATGATTAGCTAATTGCTTATTCAAAACATCATTCTAATTATGTAATCACTTTACATGTTCAATTAATTGTTCTAAAATTAAAATTGATCATATTTTGTTCAACTTTGGGAATTTCAAATCATCTAATGATGATTGAATTAAATGTAATCACACCTTAATTTCAATTTGATAATAACAAAGTTGTTTCTGTAATAAGTTTGATGATTGTGAAAAGTTTTACACTTTAAACAATTAAATTGATTAATTTTGATTGATACCTTTCTGGGTGTATTCATGGTGATGAACAAGGTAAATGTATCATAGATTCTTATGACGTTGAAGCTTAGATTTCAACTCATTCATCAATTAGATTAAAAAATGAAAATTAAAATAATCAATTAATCTTTATGTTGGCTTACAAAATTTTTTAAAAATTCGATTTGAGTTTGAACAATATTGTTTTCTCCGAGTGATCCGATAACATAAATCACTAAACTTTTTTTCTCGTTAAAATCTAAATTTTTGATTTGTCCATCGAATTATTTTAGATTATTTAATATGGAGCTTCAACTTATCTTTTATATGCTTATGAAAGTTTTTTCCTTCTCGAATTATCATCTTTTCATCAATTTGATCGCTAAATTGTTAATTTCGTGGTAGAAATTATCTCATTCAGTGTTTATCATGATTATCTGATTCAGTTACAACCAAAGGAAATTTTCAGTCATTTTATTAATCATAATCTATTATTTTCTCTCTCATTGCTTCATGGAATAAATTTCGAGGCCTCATCCGCTCAGAAGTTATTAATCCTTTTGTTGCATTTTCTCATCACTATTGACCATTAAAACAGTTAATTATATGAACCTAGTGAGATGTGAAGATGGAATCAAGAAGGGGATCCGAGGAAGAAAACTGCTACTTTTGGAGTGACAAGTTTTTTATTAAATTGATTCAATTGTCATAGCAAAGGATTCGAATGGTTCGATAATTTATCAACAATTAACTTTATAATGAGATCAAAGATGAATGATTTTATCTAAATGAATAAGATGCCAAATTATCTTATCGGGAGGTCGATTGGTGATGAATGAAGAAAGTTTGACCAGTAAACGAATCGATTCAGGCCATTCGTTGATGTCACAGGTCCTTGTTTCGGGTGCAGATATTGGACTATATCTTGTAAATGATTTATCGGATAAATAATCAATTGATTTATTAGTATAATCAGCGTCAAAAATATTCATTGATTGTGATGATGAAGATGACAAAGGTGATGAAATTCTGATCTGGTTTATTCGTTTAGCGATAAACTTTTTCGCCTCATAGAAATGGTAAACTGTGAGTGGTGGAGGATCGATTTCACAGGATTCCACTTTAAATGATTCCTCCATGGCTTTGGAAAAATCCGCTTTGAACTCCTTCGTTAAAAAATAGACTAGAAAGTTGGAATATGAAAAAATCGGAAATATTAATCATCGCAAAGGTACAAATAGAAGAGAGTTTAATAATTAAGGAGAGATTCATACATCTTTGGTTATGCTGAACAGTTGAACCGAACCAATTATTAGCAATTTTATCACGATGATAGCGAATTACATCAATATCGGATATTTCGCTGTACAGACTAGAAATTAAAATCGACAAGAAAATTAGATTTTATTGATCGTCAATACTTTCGTCTTCGAATTTAAATACTCACTTTTTATTCAATGGAAAATAATGACGATTCATCAATTTCCATATGGCCTGATTATCACTGAACCAATCGTTCCATATAAAAGACTCAGGCCATTTCTCGCAAACGTTTTTCGAGATGCGCTTTTCTATGCTACCGTTCAAAATGAAAATCTTTTTGAGAATAACAAGTATGGAACAAATTGAGAAAATCTCATAACAAGGAATAAACTTGGAATTCTTATCAACTCTGGAATGAGAACTGATTTTTTTAAATGTCGACCAACTAATGTGTTTCGTGATCAAACCAACGAATCGAAGTGGAAGATTCAAATCATAAAGATGTCTGGTTAACATTTCGATGAAATCAGGATGGGGCAGGGCAGGAATTGCGAGAAATTTTCGCAAGAAAGCAGTTTGATAATCGAGTGTATCTGAATTCACACCTCGCTTTGGTTGTAGATGTATAATGTCGTTGTTGGAAACAGTGATCCATTTTTCTGGAAGAACATTAATTGCACCAAAATAAGTTAAATGTCCCATGAAAATCCAATGAATTATATCACCAACATGGACATTGTAACCGGTGATTCGAAATGCTAATAGAATGAATTGTAAAGTTCTATGTATCGTCATTCTCTCTATGGTAATATAATTGGCATGACTGAGAATATTTTTATCCTTCTCATTGTCTCCAATTATCTTCTCGAGAAGTTGACTTCTTTTCGTCAATTCTACATCCTTTATTTTAGAACTTTTTTCTTCCAATCCACCGTCATCACCAACACCATCACCACCATCATCGTCATCGTCATCAGAATTCTTGTTACTTAAAACCTTCTTCGCTGATTCTTGTTCTTGTGCTCTTTCTTTTTCTTTTTCTTCTTTTTCTTTTTCTTGTTGTTGTTGTTGTTCTTTTTCTTCTTCTTCTTCTTCTTGTTCTTTTTCTTTTTCCTTTTCTGGTTCAACCTCTTCGTCGATTTCGTCGTCAGACACAATTTCCTTCATAAGCGAATCAAAATCGGCACCTTTATCAAATCTCTCAAGTAATGATCGAGCTTTTCGCTTCAACTTCTGATAGATTCTTGGACGAGATATGGGCTTAGCAAATTCTAGTCCATTAATATCAAGCTGTCTTTCATTAGTAAGTACCGAGGATGTCGCTTTGGTGGCAAGAGGACTGAATTGTTCTGATGAAACAGATGAATCGAGTGAATTAGATAAGCTTGTAGATCCATCGGATTCATAATCAGCAAAATTTTCACCGTCTTCTATTGCGGGAGGATTGTGACTGTAATTAAATAGGAAATTATCATCCATATCTTTATCCCATTCAATTTCCATAGGCACATCGTCGAGGTCACAATTTTCATATTGTACACAGTCAGTCTCGGGTTTTCTTGATTCTTCAACGTCTTCGTCATAATTTCCTTCAACAGGCTTTTTGTACCGTTCGTCCTTATTTTCATCATCGCTACTGCTCAAATCGTAAAATCGAGTGATCTGTTTCTCTCCGTATTCTATCATAGTGTGTCTTTTGAATCGGACGAGTCCACAATAAGCTTTTTCCTTGGACTTTTTTGCTGATTTTTGGGGTAATTGTTCAACATTTCGTCTTCCTTCACCGATTATTTGTAAATCTCTGTAGCTTGAGTTGATATGAGATTTTGGTTCATCCTCACTTTTACCAGTGAAAGCAAGTTCACCTTTGGCCAAATATTCTGTCCATAGACTAAATAATATCACTCGAAATTGTGGTCCAAGGTTCAATCCTTTCTCTAATTGTGAACATTGGTGATTTAATATTATGTTGTAGGCTTCAACCATCGTCCAAGCTTCACCAGGATTAAAGGTTCTTTTCTTTCTTGTTTTCCTGTTCCTATCATCGAAGGCTAATTGTTTAAGATTCCAATCACCTTCTTCATATTGTCTCACTTCCAATGTAAATCCAATTCTCTGAGTGTTACAGGTAAGACAATAATATAAACCGGAAATTTCTTCAAATCCTTGAGATGAACCGCAAGTTGTACAGGTTTGGATTCCATCAGTTTCCATCTTCACTTATTGTATCTAAAAAAATGATAAAAGTATTCAGATTAATTTAAAGAAATTTATGCTCATAACAATCAAAATAAAGATAAAAAATAACAATAATCAACGAAAATCAACCAATGATCAGCGAGAGAAAACCGAGTAACAGAAAATTTTGACCGCGTAAAAGAATAGGAAAAAACATATGATCTTTTGGAGAAGAGTTGAGATAAATTGTATGATTAGAATAGAAATTGACTTACTTTTGTTAAGACACAATTTAAGAAAAGAAATTTACACACAGTTAATGGCGAAAATGTTACAATCAATAAGCTCTGAATTGTAAATTAACCACAAGAGAGAACAATGTTTACACTGAATGGAACATGTTGTTGTTATGGTTAAGCGAAAACCAGTTTATCTAAAGTGAATTGATGAAACTTATGATCGCTGAGAAGCCGAAGAAAACGATCGCTGAGCAGACAAATAAAGCGATGAAGTAAATAAATATTATCGAGAAATGGAAAAATTTCCTCCAAGACATGATTAGATTAGTTGATCAACTGAACAATTTAATGTTTCCAAAAATGAGTGAAAGTAAACAACAACAAAGATCAGCTCAGAGTTTGAGCAGAATTTTGTTTCTTTCATAACAAAAATCAATGGAATTTACTTAACCTTTTTTCTCGTTTCGTCTTTTTTTTACACTAATTGTAAATAGAATCACAATTTTCTAAATAAAGAAGATCAATTGTTCATCTGATTCATTGATTATGTTATAGTTCAATAGATTTACGTTGATACACATGGAATTTGTACTTTAACCCATTCTCTTCTTGAATCTCTTTGGGAACTGTTTCTTTACTAATCTCTTGGAATATTTTCTCATCAAATTTAGGGAAAAATGAATCACAATCAAAATTTGCTTCTATTCGGGTGAGATAGATTGTTGAACATTCTGGAAATGTTAAAGCCTCGCGATAAATTTGTTCACCACCGACAATGAATATCTGGTCAACTTCATCCATACACGAAGCTTGAACCAGGGCTGATTTTAGATCACTGAAAACACCATCCGATTTAATTGGTTTTTCGGTGACTGTACGACTGACAATCAAGTTAATCCTTCCATCTAATGGTCGGTATTTCTCGGGAATCGATTCCCATGTTTTCCGCCCCATGATAACAGCGTTTTTCTTTGATTCATCATCGCTGGTAATTGTTATCCGAGTGAAATAATTCATCTCATTCTTAAGACGCCAAGGTAACTTATTATTCACTCCGATTCCATAATTGTCACAAATGGCAGCGATTAGGGAGAAGTTTCTTATCTTCATTGTGAATAAACAAACAAACAAAACAATTAAAACCCGATGACAATCACTAATTAACTAAACTGTTTTATCGATGAAAAATTAGACTAATGTATCGATACTTATGCTCAATACTATCGATGGAATAAAATAAATTGAAGAAAATAGAATGTAAATGATTTTAAATTCTAAATAACATACTAAACTTTGAAATGATTGATTAGAATTAATTTTGTAAACATTGATTGAGGAACAGAAAAATAATCGAAATGATTAATGTTTTTGGAGAAAAATAAATTTGAAAAGCGCGCGCATTTTCATAGAAGCGAAAAGTCAATCGATGAGAGGAACAGTCGAGTGAGGGAGCTACTGAAGATTCGATGGATGAAGTCCTTTTGTTTATTGTGGAAAAAGTTAAATGACCAGAGAGGGAAGAAATCAATTTCCACCTCTAACAAGTAAATGATTGTTTAGTTAATTAGCTAATTAATCAATTGATTAGTTGTACAAATTAAGAGATCAGCGAGTAACTGATCAATCGTTTTTTAATAGATTGTGTGTTTTCTTTTCTCTCGTCTATAAGTATCTCATGTGATATCAGTTTCTTTTTGGATTTTGATCTCCGAGTTTGCCTTCAACTCAATTAGAATTGGATTCATTACAAAAGGAGTTGATCCCATTTTCGGGCTTACAATTAGGCTTAACCGTTTGTCTATCAACACTGAATAGTTGATATTCAATTGTTTACCTTTTCCCTTTCCTTTCCTCTCCTTTCTTGTGGTTTAATCTTTTTTCACTCGTTATCGGTCCCATTATTTATTCAGGATGGAATTGGAAACTACCAAATCCAATCAGGAGAAAAAGATTGGTCACCGACGTGTTGATGAAACGGGACAGGTTACATATAAGAAAATTGAAACATCTCAAATATGTGGATCCATACAATTAGGTGTTGGATACTCTGCAGGCAGTGTTGCATCCAGACCCGAAAGAAATGTTCTAGTGCAGGATTTTGCTATGGTGGAAACAACCTCGTTCCCAGCATCAGGAAGTAACATTACCCCTGCTCATCATTATACCGATTTCAAGTTTAAAAGTTATGCTCCAGTTGCATTCCGACATTTTCGTGATCTGTTTAGTATTGCGCCTGGAGATTTTCTACTCTCCATTTGTAATGAACCCATGAGAGAACTTTCCAATCCTGGTGCTTCTGGAAGTGTTTTTTATATCAGTGCTGATAGTGAATTTATCATCAAAACAGTTCAGCGCAAAGAAGCCGATTTTCTTCGGACACTTTTGCCTGGTTATTACTTGGTAAGAATCTCAATCTTTTCTTGTCTATCTCTATCTATCTCTCTATCTCTCTCTCTCTCTCTCAGTCTAATGCTTATCATATAATATCACACCCTTTTACTCATATGATTATTTACTTTTTATTTACTTTTTTATTCTTTTCATCTCTTAGAATCTGAAACAAAATCCTCGGACACTATTGCCAAAATTTTTTGGTCTTTATTGTTATATTTGTAGGGGTAAAAATGTTAGGGTTTGTGTAATGAACAATCTTTTACCGTCCTTCATCAAATTCCATCAGAAATATGATTTGAAAGGCTCAACATACAAAAGGAAAGCTAATAAAGATGAAAAGAAGAAGGAATTTCCAACATTTAAAGATTTAGACTTTTTAGAACATCATCCTGAAGGAATCTACCTCGAGGCCGAAACTTATAGTGCTCTAATGAAAACCATCGATGACGATTGTCTTGTATTAGAAAGTTTTGAGATTATGGATTATTCACTTTTGGTTGGTATCCACAATTTAGATCTCTCAGATAAAGAAAAACAGGATCAAGTTCGTGATAAAATGGCCACGGTGGCAGCTGAAGCCGCTGCTGAGGCTCGTGGTCGGGGTATTGGTGACAACAGTGGTAGTGGTGGTGTTAGTGCAAGTGAACAAATAAAAAATTCAACAATTAATTCAACCGGCAATGGTGATGGTAAATCATCAAATCTTTCTAGAAATAAATCAATTAATCGTCAAAAGCTTGCAGCTCACTCAACTGCAATGGAATCCATTCAAGCTGAAGCCGAACCGATTGATGAAGAAGAAGACATTCCGTACGCATGAAAACTTATTACTTGAAATGCTCCTGAAAGCTGTTCTATTTGTAATACATCAGAATTTTGCTAACCGTTGATTGTTTTCTTAACATCGAGTAGTACTAAAAGTCTACCAATCTTGAGAATACAAAAATAGTGAGAAAGAGAGAGTGGAAAACCAATTTCTCTTCAAGTATAGTCATGAATAACAAATCAACCCTTAATTTCCTGTAACTAATATTATCTGAATTGAAGTATGAAAGAAACAAAAAACATCAACCAGTTGCAATTTTCTGTGTGTTCAAGTGTAATTTTTTGCTTCTATCTCTTTGCTTTTGCACATTATTACTTATCAACTATAAATCAAATTTCTCTCTCTCTTTTTCTCCTATTCTTTTGCCGATCATTTTTGCTCCTCGTTCTCACAGAGTTGGTGGTATTCCTGCAAGAAACAATAAAGGAGAGAGATTACTACTATTCATGGGGATCATCGATATTCTTCAAAGTTATAGATTAAAGAAGAGATTAGAACATACTATCAAATCTGTATTAACCGATGGGGTAAGAACACGATCAGAATTTTCTGTTCATCAACTTGATCCACTATTTAGTGGCTTTATCCGCATCTTCGTCCTTATTGAAACATTTTCTATCTTTTTTTTCCAACAGGACACAATATCTGTACATAGGCCTGGTTTCTATGCTCGAAGGTTTAAAGATTTCTTTGCAAAGAAAGTTTTCAAAGAGATTCCTTCCCGTAAGTTTAATTACAATCAATTCTATTGCACTAATCATTTTTAAATCATCAGATTAAATTTATTAATGAAACATATTTATATTTTTAAAGAGGTGTCAGTCTTAGGTATAAATAATACCTTTAAAGATGAGCATAATAGGAAAGATAGAGCACAATTATTTTGCCAACTTTTGATTGTTTTCTAATCAATTTGATGTTGATTTTGATGGTTCCTGATTCGAGAAGAGAATATTATTTCCAAATATCCTCATGTTCATTTCCATGTTACTTGATATCCGTTATTCATATTAATGTATCGTTTTTGTCTATCAGATTATCAGTTTTTCTTACATTGTAATTGGTATTTTGTTTAGTCGTATATCGTTCATATTGTTTATTTGTTCAAATGTAACTCATATTCATCAACCTGCTGACTCTCTCTGACTCTCTCTCTCTTTTCTGTCTTCGCCTACTTTGCTTTCTATCTCTCTTTCTTGCTTCCTTCGATATGCTGTCCGATTGACCCACCCTGATTGAACCTAATCAACTTGCTGTTATCCAAATTAATATCAATCACACGCATAAACCATTTTCATTAACCAAAAATCAAATTTAAACAAAAACTAACCAATAACCCAACAAAAAATTAACGAACCTTAATTAACAAAAGTGGATTTACCAGAAATCAAAGGGCCTCATCGTAAATTTCGTACCTTGGTCTCTAGTTATATGGGTATGAGAGTTATCATAATAACCATCCTACCTTAATCTTTTCTTAATCCAATTTAATTCAGTTTACATTTACTTAATTATCGATTATTACTCTTGTTTTGTTTTGTTTGCTTTTCAAATTAATTATTTTCGCTGCTTTTTCACCCTCTTTTCCAAAATACTTTGACATTTACATCCTTTCTATCATATTAAGAGCTTTGAAACGAATTTCAAAACTCTACTAATTATTTGCATGCATCTCAAAAGTATCAACATAAAGCACAATTTGTTGATCATTTACATGAAACTTTCTTGGACTGATTATATCGCATGACCAGTTTCATGTATTATTTTACCTGGAAAACGTTGTTAGCATTGTTCAATATACTATGTAGGTGTTTCAACCTGATATATTGATTAACCCAAAAACCCAAGTAATATTTTTGATAACATGATTTACAGTTAAGCATCAACCTATTGAATATTATCTTTACAATAATAATTTGATTGCACAATTTTACCATTGAGATTAAATTACATACATAGTGATAGAAACCTAAATTAAATCAACCCTAACTAACCTCCCTTTTGCTGTAGCTCAAAATAGTAAATGATTAAATGACTAATCCATTTTTCTTATACATCTTTCATTTAGTATAAACTTTACATTCCAATATTGTAGTTATTAGAAAAGTTAAATTATCTCTTTTCCTGTTTTCTTTTATCTCTTAATCCCATGATTATCATTCCCTTGATATTAATAATGATAGTTGAGTAAATGCATGGACTCGACTTTCATGGTATCATTTTTCATCCTTCATTTATTTACCTTTTGATGCTTTACTGAGAACCAGTGTTTAGATAGACTTACCTTTAGGATTATTATGATGCATCTTATTAGTTAATTGTTTATACTCAGATATTAATTATAATTTAACTTTCGAGTTGAAATTATGGTTTTGTTTATATAAAATTTATATTTTCTATTTTTATACTTTGTTTTTATATTTTCAATCTCTTTGCTTATATTATTGTTTTTTGTTTCTCTTAATTGTTATCACCTCAATCACACACCATGTTTATTGATCGTCTTCTATAATTATGTATATTAATATCAATTAATATTGTCCAATACTAATTATTGTCTTTTTTGTCTCTCTCTATGTCTCTCTTTGTCCTCTCCCTTTGTTTTATCTCTCTCTCTCTCTCTCTCTCTCTCTCTTCATGTAGCTCTTAAACACTCACCATCAAAGAGGAAGAATACCTTCCAAAGATTCCAAAAATCATCCACATCAGAACAAACTGAGATTAACAAACCGATTAGCCAAGTTGCATCAACTGAATCATCATCTAAAGACGTTCCTAGTACGGTTATGTTTATAACTTGTCTGTGATCTATTTTTCTTAATCGCGTTTGTCTTGACCACAAAATGCAATTACAGTCAATCAACTTGGTGTGAATTCACCATTCGCATTTAGTATGAAATGATTTCAAATGAATTGATTAAACACCTTTAATCCTTTTTAGCTCAAGGTAAGATAAACATTTGAAATGGTTTCAAATTAGATTGAAAATTAATTTTTATTACTTTCTCACCATATGACTCATGCTATTGGAGATCATTTCATGCTAATTTAGAACCATTTCACGTTAATCTTGCACAAAATTAAGCACTGAAAGGATTACCGTTAATCCTTTTCACCCGAAATGGAAACCATTTGATACTAATTGGAAAGTGTATTCATACCAAGTTGGTTTACTGTATAACTTGATGATCTGTGGTACTTTTTAAAAGTTATTTTAATCTCATAATAGTGAACAAAATGAGTTCGAATTATGATAACTCGAGAATAATTACGAAAGTGAGATTTTAAGATTTAGAAAGACGAAGTGATTGTTTGTTTTTGTTTCGAACTCAATTTAAATTGATTGATTTTTAATCGAATTTAGGAATTTCTAGTTAACAATGATTGAAGATTTAAATTTTCACTAAAATTAAATCTTAGCAATTAGATTTACCATCCTGATTACGAATACATTTTAGTCAAATTTCAGTATCAAGGTCTAATCTTTTGCTTAATGCTTTTTAGTTATGAGCTTAATTAACTAATTGCTTTATTGGTTTGATCAAAAAGAACATTTTCCAGGCATTGAATTGTTTCAATCAGAATCATCATATCGTTTCCACGTTATAATTAAACTAATCAAATCAAATCTAATTTGATACACAATTTTATCTCATGAGATTATTGTTTTTGTTTTTATAAACATTTTTTTCTGATTGTGATTCTTTTATCATTATTATCAACAGAATGAACAATTAAATGCTAGGAGAAATGTCCTTAAGCTTTTGCTTACCTTTTAATGCGTAATTAAACACTAATCAAATTGCTTTTCTTTTGCCATTTAGAAACTGTCAAATGTCTGATGATCGTAATTGAATGAGTATCCAACTAATATTACCTAGTTAACTCTCTTAAATCACTGTGATAAATTTCACTTGATGCTCATTCATTTGCAATTATCCGATGTTCATGTTTAAATTTTAGTGCTTGCGATTGAATTTTTTTGTCAAAACTAATATGTAACTTTATTGATCTCTGTCCATTAGGCTCGACACCAGGTTCAAAAACAAGTCAACCGCCTGTAGCTATTTCACAGCAACAAAGTGCACGATTCATGTTGACTAATCCAATCGTCTCAAGTGTCACTGCTACTGCCGCTGCCGCCGCCGCCGCCGCTGCTGCTGCTACAACCTCTTCCTCAACCAACACTGGAGTCACAATTTCCTCTGCTAAGAATACAAATGTCAAATTTATCGCTGAAAGCTCATCTTCACCAGCATCTACCACATCATCACCAATCCACTCTTCACGATACAAGTCAACCATTGAACCGGCTCCCAGCTTACGAACCGTAGTGATCAAACAAGCCGCAATCGATTGCAATAGCAGTGTCACAAGTAATTCCAGTGTCACCTCTTCTGGGATCGGGTCAACCTCACGGACGATAACATGGACACCACCGTTAAGCATAGAGAGAAGCACACCAACCTACACTGAAGGAACACCCTCCTTGACAGAATCAAGTGAAAGCAGTGATATTGGTAATCAACTTGATTAACTCGGAACACAATTAATCAACAATCTCCTTCATCATTCCTTTAAAAATCAGTTCGACCATTATTTAATCGCCATTGGACTTCCCTCAGTTGATCAATGATTAAAAAATACTGTCAATATTTAAATTAATTTGGTCGTTAACACGATGAAAATGATTATAAATCAGTTTGATTAAGAGAAAATGACGAAAATGATTAGTTGATCGAAACCATAAATTGAATGACCAAAGAGCCATCGTACTTACAATTACACTTCCATGAGAGCTTTCTAGTTGATTTATTAGGCGTGTTAATTATTATCTAATTTAGTGTTTCACCGTTTTAAAGGCGAACTGATATTTTCTCCAAACAAATCACATTGTCTGAAACTCGATTCTCATTTCAATTCGAAAGCGTTGATATAAAATTTAAGCTCAAATCGATGAGAAAATAGTTTCTATTTAGTAATCGATTGACAATAGAATTTGGATCATTTTTGTTTCTATTCCAATTTAATTGTACAATTTGTTTTATCAATTTAATTATCGATTGCAGTTTAATGGGTAGAAATTTAGTCTTTAATTATCATGGTAAATTGTATTTCAGGTTTTGTTTTGGCGAACCTTCAATTCTCATCATTAATCAACTTTAAATTGTTAGGTGATCACTTTAAAGTGTTATTGTTATCACTTATTAATTAATTAGGTCGAAAACAAATGAAACCAAATTAGTTGATGATTTTTTGATCAATTAATAAACCACCAAGTGTTTGCTCTCAATTATAATTAAGGTTTAACTTTTTGTATTTGTATTTAATGAACCGAATAATTAATTATAATCAATGTAAACACAACAATTCACTCGTTATGTCTCTAAATAATTAAATTAGATTACAAATGATTGTGCTGAAAGTTTTGAATTATAGTTTCAATGCCTAAAACAATACAACAATCAGAATGCAATTAACGGAGGAATTGATTCCTTGATGAACAAATTATGCGAAAATTGATCAAAATTTGCTTTCAATCATTTTTGCAATTTAATTTACAATTGAATTGCTAGGATTCGTTAAAAGATTATTTAAACTTTCGAATCAATATTCATATTAGCGACCACGATAACAATTAGTAAATTTCTAAAGGCACGAATTGAATTAACCATTAGAGTTAACAATGGATCCATTGGACTGGTTCTGACTATCGAGCTCAAACAATAAGGCAATCGCATCGAGATTTGATCATCGGAAGATCATGTCCATCGAAGTGAATTAGTTAACTAATTTGAAAATAAAATTTTTTATATGGATTGAAATCATCATCTGATTAGTTAATTGCTACTATTGATCAAGTATCTAAGGCTCGGGTTACTTTTTTAAATCGTACTTATCCCTGACATCATTTTCGACATCAATCTAATCCGAAATCAGATTGAGCTCATTACAATGAAACTTTAATCGTTTAACTGATTAGCCAGAATACTCTTAATTGCTCAAAGTCAAATTGGTTCATTTAACCTTAATTTCATTTTATTTGATTATTAACAGAGTTAAATTGATTAGAAAGATACAAAATTAAACATAATTTGATTAAAGCGAAATGAATGAGACAACAAAAAAAAGTGCGATTTAAACAAAAAAAAAGTTGAATGAGATTCGTTAAGTAGTAGCAATTAGTTAATCGTAGTTCCTTAATCATTGGCCAATCGAGGGAAGATTTTAAGAAGTGGACCAATTAGGAAAATGTCGTTAACTTCAAAATTAGCGTCAGCGGCGGATTTTAATCTGGTCAGTCCGTCGTTATTGTTTTTGATACATTCGCCTTCGGTGGCGTATTTGGTACAAGCGATGTCCATCACGTCCTTCAAAGTAGCGTCGATCATTTGCTGGAAAAATTTGGACACTTCGAACGATTTACTCGAACATTCTGATCTCTTTTGAAGATTTGCTCGAACACAGTTTTCCAATTGATTGTACATACAACATAAATCACCGAATAATTGAGCATCGGTTGAGTTAATTGCTGTCGATTCAAATTGTCGATTAGCAACATTAAGACAATGATTCCAACCGGGAAGACTTGATTCAGTTGTGCATTTGAGTATCTCAATGGCTCCTGTTTCAAACGTTTGAGATTAACAACAATTAATCATTTCTCATATTAATGTGATAATTTGATAAAAAGAAAATCTTATTAATCTGTTAATTAATTATTCTCAGGTACTTGTGAATCTTTTCAACTGATTATCACTCATTCATGATCAGATTTAATGATCAATATCAATAACTTTTCATCACTTGTAACAACGATCAAAACCTTGACGATTAAACGTCAATTGTGGCCTTGTTTTAATTGCAAATTTGATAATAAACATGTGAAAGAATCAAATTAGTTAATGATAAAAAGTTTCTTAATTAAAGAGCCATATATGTGGTTCCTGTTAATTGTAAATTAACTTTAAATCATTTCTCCTTCCTTATGATGATAACCAAGGACAAAATGATCACATTAGCTAACATCACAATTACATAATGACCGATAATCAGTTTTAATAGTAAATTAACTGAGAATCAGGTAATTAATCATCTATTTATACACACACTGAATACTCAGTCAGTAGTTAATCAGATCGCAACACTTTCTAGTTGATTTTTTCTCATGATAAGATAAACATTATATCAGAATAATAATAATAATATGTTTACTTGGATGATTCCAAATATAAATTCGTAACCTTTGTGATTTTTGGTTCGTAATTAAATTTGATTACTTACTCTCTTTCTCTTTATTTGCATGGCAAACGTTTTTTATCAATTTACGAAGACCCCGTAAGAAGATTGAAAATAATTGTCGAGGCAACGAAGTCAAGCAACTGGTTGAAAATTTTCGCAAAGCTTTGTAGACTCGATCGCCGAGGCTGAGGATTAAGGGGAACAATGGAATAGTCCAGGATTAGATTAGTGTTAATCTTTATGTGTGATCTGATGCGATTTTAGATTGATACTTACGCGCAATGAGCGTCAATTGATTCTCGACTTGTAGGGAAGGCAAAGTTACCGACCAGGAGAACTCGTCGAATATCATTACCATATTGACTTACGATCTCCCGACAGAATCCAAGTTTGGCGTTCCAACCTTTGTTTCCGGTTCCGTTGTTGTTGATTGAAGCTAGTTCACTATCGAGCGACTCAATTTCACTTAACTTCTCACCGACATTCTCTGTACTCTTGATTGTTGATGATTTAGACGACTCTGTGGTTGTTGATGTTGTTGGTGGCGATGTTGTAGATGTTGATGTTGCTTCAGTTGATTTAATTGTCGTTGTTGTTGTTGTGGTTGAAGTTGAAGTTGAGGTTGAGGTTGTGGGTGAGACTGTAGATGATGTCGAGTTTGTCGATTTCTTGAAACGATCAGATCTACGAGACTGACTTCGATTTTCCCTCTGACAATCAACTGATAGCAATTAGTGAGATTAAAAAAGAAAAATAAATTTAAATCTAATTGCCAATCAACTATAATTGTTGTTAAAAACTTACCAATAAGCAGAGTTGAGATAATTATCAAAATAATAAGATGAATCCCTTTGGATGAAAACATACTGATTAATTGTGAATTGAATCCCAATCAATTGGAATGAAAAAATTTAACTATTCTAATCAACTAAATTTTGTTATTTAATTACAATTAAATAATTAAATAACAATTATTCAATGAGAAAGGCACAAATTAATGTTAAGTGTTGATGAAATTAACTAAAAGTGATTATGAAAATGAAAGTTTGTTTAAATAAATGTTGATTTAAAGGAACCCAAAAATCCTTGTCCAAGTTAATCAAATTAAATTGTAAATCATCAAGTTAATTTATCATTTAAGTAACTCCTTTCACTAATCTTGGCGATTAGTATTAATATAAATACATTTTATTTTTATTAAATTACTTAATTCAGTTTGATTAGAATCACAATAATCGGCAACAAGTTGTCAATGACTTCTCAACGAATCCGGCCAAGGTTTATAGTTTATAATACAATTAGAACTTAATTTTTAACAACAATTAACCTTTAGGGTATCAACAATTAAAACTAAAAAGGTAAATACTTAAATTAAGAGACAACAAGAAAAATCAAACACTTAAATCAATAAGACTTGGAAGTTAATTCATTTAAATGACAATAGAATTGAAATAATTGTAATCAAAATGAACGAGGAAAAAAATTAATCACGATTAAATTTGATTGAAATGTTTGCAATGATTAAAATTCTGACAATCTATTGGGAATCAATTAGTTAATCAATCACTGTAAGATTGTATTAAATTGTGAGCTATTTTGATTAACTGATTTGAATCAATGTCATTTGGTATTAATAATAATGATGATTGGCTGTTGATTAATTTAATCATAGACATAATTAAAGTGATTCAAATTAACCAGTTTTCTGTTCAGTTTCAATTTCACAATTATTCATTGAGATAATCATCTTCATAATCAACCTTGATTTTCTTAAATTACTAATTGTCTAGGTAATAATTAGTTGATTACTAGAAAATTTCTTAATCAAAATTATGTATTATTTTGTCTCATGTTTGATATATAATCTTGATGAAAATGTAATAATCACAATTAAAACAGTAATTAATTGTTGGTTATCTCATTTTGAACATCAACAAAATAATCACTGATTTGTTGATTGCTAAATTTAGTTGACAGTGATTAAGTTAATCAAGTTGATAATTTATTAATGGTGATACATTTCCTGTAACCAAATTAAGACTGTCCATTTTAAATGTTACTTTTTTAAGTTGTTAATAAACAGAAATCATTTAACAACAATCAATTCTGATTGTCGCTCTATTATTGTAATTAGTTAATCATTTAGAGGAAAAATTGTCGATCAGATTTACAACAATCAAATCTTATCAGTCTCTAGACAAACACTTACTTTAGATCAAGATACAAATTCAACTGACCATTGATAAAAAACTAAAATAAACAACAAATAATGATAAAGAAAATGATTAATAAATTGCAACAATTAACAAATCAATGATTTAAATTAAAGGTGAATCTATTTATAGTTAAACTAATAATACGTTACGAAATCAGTGTAACAAGTATTGGGTTGAATGGGACGTTAACTTAGTTAAAGTTATTGACTTGATCATCAGAAGCATCTAATTAATCAACTAATCAAGTGACTATTTTACTAGAAAGTTAATTGTGAGTTGATAGTTTAATTGATTGCGATTAAATTACTTAAAGATGTAAATAAATGAAATACAGAAACAAAACATTAGAACTTGTTTGAAACTCTTTATATTTTTTCATTTAGAATTGAAAATTTTCCCATTGACACCTTAAACTGGATTAGATTAAATTGATCGCAAATCCTGATAATGGATTTAAATTAATCACTCAAACTTAATTTCTTAATTTGATTCTTTCTCAAATTTTTCCTAAAATAGTTAAACTTGATCTACAATGTCCATTATCAGTTAGTTTAGACCTAAACTCCATTTGATAACCGAAGTGGAAATAATATTTGCCTTAGAACAGAAAAAAACCTTTACCGTTGATTTCGGGGTTTTTTCCGCGAAATTAACGGTCAAACTTTCATCACAAATCGGTTAAGATTTTTTATTGAGAACAATTAAGTTAATTTTTTTATAATATCATCTGAGCAATCAGCTGATTGTTGTCACTAAACTGAATCTGTTGACCATTATCATGCCATTATGTGGTTTTCTCATGGTTCTGTTGATTAGATCAGTTGATTTCTGGTTAATTTGTTAAAAAGTTGAACAATTTTGTTTCATTTAAATGATAATTAAATGATGACCAGTTAATGATATGTGTATCTTATTAATAGAGTTAATTATTTGAGTTAATTATGGAGAATCCTTGAGAGCCTGTGGTTTATTTATTTTGCCTTAGGGTAATTTATTCTTGATCAGAATTCTGAGAAAAATTATGAAGATTCTGAAAACTCAGTTAATAATAATACGTTTGCATGATATGATGAATCTAATGATTGGGATGAAGAAAAAGAAAAAAACTTGATAATATGAGAGCGAAAACATATCATCTCCTCCAGGTGATAAAGTCTAAGGAGTTTCGGGCTTGGAACAGAAAGAAAGAGATGAAACTAAGAGGATGATGATAGTGATGATGATGAGATGATAACAGAGAGAGAGAGAGAGAGAGAGAGAAGATGAGAGAGACTGATTAAGAATGAGTATAAAACATTGAGAGATTCAAGTTCGCCTTAGAAGTTTTCAAGTCGCCCCTTAAGATAAACCATAAGCTCGTCAACAATTAACTTAATATCATCTCATCACCTTTCACCTTCGTTTAATGCTCAAGAATAATCTTAATTAACTCAATATATCAATCGCTTAATTTATTCAATTTTAATTATCGACATCTAATTAGTGTTCAAAATGCAACTAAAAGTGATCTTCATACTTTTACCATTCGTTTTCTCACCATCAGGTTTGACTTTTTCATCTAATTTTTAGATTGTCCAGTTAATTGTTTACCAGTAAATCACTTATAACTGTTTAATTGTTGATTCGTTTGTTTTCAATTGTTTAGAAGCTCAAGATCAATGTAAAGCGATCGCCAGAAGAGTTGACCGGAGTTTTCGGACATTTTTCTTCATCGACGAACAAGTTAAAATCCCTGTGGCTAAACCAGAATTAACTGAGCATTGCCGGTAAGTAACAATTTAATTGTTGACTTAATTGTCCATCGATTTTCCTGATTACATAAGAACGTATCTTTAATTTGATACAAAAATTAGTATCGTATCATCAATAAGCCTTAGCTCACAATTAATATATGGAAAATTGATTTGATTAAGTCAACAAACTAATAATCATCAATTTGATTAGTTATGTTTCCGGAAATTTGATTACCAGAGTCATTTAAATGATTACAAACCTGATCGTCAGGTATTTCAGTGATTACTACTAGTTAATTGTCAGTTAATTATAACATGGTTTGAATCAAGAAAATAATAGTCGATGGTAAAAGTATAAATGATTAATTGTAAACAGTTTGATTTTTTAGTTTCCATCAAAAAGATCTTGTTTTGTTAATTGTAGTTCAAGGGGAATTAAATTAATGTTTTATAATTTAAGATGATCGATTAAATTGTGATTAAATGTATTCGTAAGTAATCAAAATGTTATGAAACTTAATTTGTTTCATAAAAATGGTAACAATCAACTGATTTGAAGTTTGCTACACTGTTAATTGTTACATAGACTCAGTGATTATCAATCAGAGGGAAACTTTTTAAATGCAATTAACGACAATTAGCTCAGGGCGATTAACTTACTGTTGATTGATTGAAATTGAGTGAAAATTGGTGATTAAACTGATTATCACACCAAGAAAAGTTTAAATCATAATTAATTGCAATACTTTGATTTAGGTTAATTTTCAAGGTAAAAATTAACAGCAATCAAATTAATCATAAAATCACAATCAGAACGATTAGTGAATCTAAATCACTGGATTCTGTAATCAAATAGATAGATACAAACAACTGACAATCAGATGTTTAATTAATCACATCTCAACTAATCGTATTTACATAGACATAAACATATGATTAAACTTAATTGTTGTGACGCAATTTAAACAATTGTTTGACCTTGTCAGTCTTGATAATATATTGTAACTTTCAAGGTGATTAAGAAAACCCTTTGATAGTTTCTCATTATAACTCTAAACTGGTTTGTTATGTAATTATGGTGATTAAAGAAAATGGTAATTACAATTATGATTAATTGGAATTAACTTTCTTCCTATTCTCTCAATTAAACTTCAATAGATTACCACAAAGAGCAATTAAATCGTTGAAAAAGTACAAAGAATCATGTACCAAAGGATTGTCTTCTCAGATATTGCAACTCGCCGTTGTTGGAATTACAAATGCAATCCAATCAATGTGTTCCCTGAAAATCAAGATCGTGAGTACAATTAACTTGATTCAATATTCCTCCAAGCTAATCATCTGTATGATTAATCAGATTGAACAACAATTAGCCTATTGGTTGAAAACCAAAAGAAATGAAGTGGTTTCGATTCAGTTTGGAGAGCTGGCTGGTTGCTGGTTATGTTTGCTTGCGATTTGTTTGCTAATTGTTAATTGTTTCTTCTTTTTTAATTGTTTCAGGAACGATTGAAGTTAATCGCTGTCTAACCGATGATTCGATTAAATCATTCCATTCGTGTTTCTATCGGGGCGAGAGAATGTTAGATTCTGTTTCTCGGGTTGCCAACTCTTCCAACATTTTACCTTTGACCTGTTGCGCTTTCAACTTTTTCGACGAGTGTGTTTTCTCATCGATCGACGAAACTTGTTCAACGAGTAACATCAAAATTAGCGACTATTTCTCAAATTTTTTCGATCTTGCATTGGATGATGTTCGCGATTTGGCCTGTGGTCGACTCAAGACGGTCGCTAAGTGTGAAGAAAACCATCCAAGACAAACGCGAAGATTAAGAAGAATCTATCAATCAAAAGAATCGACTCAAGATAAAAGAGGAAGTTTCATCTTCTCTTTGGTTGAAATTTCATCTAAATTGAGTGAATAATCAATTAAATCAATCATTAATAACTCATCTTCTTCACTTTTTTACCAATATTATCATTGGCATCTTCAATTAGACTTGATTTCAATAATTAATTGGATTAATTTTTTGTTTTACATTGTGATTTGTGGTCTTTGCGGAGTTTTGGACTCATAATTATCATTAACGACCAACTTGATTATCATGACCAAATTAATTCACCATTGATAATCTATCTTCAATGATAGATAATTAAAGCAAGTTTTTTTTGTTAAGCTTGGGTTTAATATCGTTTGTTTTATATATTGTATTAAATTCAGTTCTACTTTTTTTCATCAGCATTAATAAATTAATCAAAACTGATTTATCTAAAGTAATTTTGTGTTTGTAGATTTATAAATTCATTTTCACGATGAGAGCATTTTGTCCAATATTTTATCAAACATTAATTTTCTCATTTTCGTTTCTCTTATCGTTTTTTTTCAACAAAATTCTGTTGGTCATCAGCTTTTTTTCCTTTTTTTCTTTGTTGATTTATTTCATCCTTTTCCTTTCAATACTAGATATAAGTGGTGAAATCGTCTGGAAATTTATCACAATCGGGTGGATTCGAATAGATGTCTTCAAGATCCGAATTTGATATTGTTGACCTGCTATTTGGTGAGAATGAAGAAAATTGTTTCTGGCTCTGAAGTTCAGCACTTCTAATATGCTCTAACGTCTTTTGTTTAATCCTTTCAATTTGTCGAAGCCTTTCAACACAATTAGATGCGTAAAGAGAACCAGTGCTTATGGATCTTTTGCTATGATAAATCAAAGATGCGATCTGAAAGATGACAAGAGAAATGAATTAAATTCAAATTTAAAGAAGAGAAAGATAAAAACAAAAGCACGAAATAAATTGTATTCAACTTACGTTAAGATTCATACTAAGCTGGCGAATATAATTGGGCAGAGCGGTGTCAGATAGTACGACTGATTCTCGAGGACCAATTATATCTTTTAAGCCTGAAAATAAATAGTCAATAAAAAGAAATTAGCAAAAAGGGTTCTCTTGACGATCGATAGTTAAAAACATTGTCTATTTTAAACAGGTGAGTGATTGATGATTCTTACCTTCATCAAATAATTGAATCATCACCAGATTACTCTCATATTCTAATGGTCGTATTACAATAGCTGCAACCACAAATTTACTTATCTGTAAAAAAGACAAAGAAGAGAAAACGTTAATTACAATATTGAATTGATGAAATTAAAGCTCTACGTACCCTAACATCGTTAACAGCCAAATCTTGGCCGCTGTTATTGTAAATGATGCAGATACAATCATTTCCAATATGAGCGATTTTAGAAGCCCGTTCAGGATCATTCTCTTTATTGGGCATGAAGGTGGAAACGTGGAAAACTACTTGAGTTAAATTGTCTTGCCAATTGATTGCGAAGGTTCCGTCTTGTCCACCTTGTGCCAATCCACCAATATAACATTTGGAAGTGTCAATGTCTTGGAGTTTAATTATGTTACCTAAACCACGGATAAATTTGATATAACGGAAAGATCCAAAACGATTGGAAAGTATTTTATTCAAGTCTTTGTGCTGGTCCGTTCCAATATAAATAACTCCTATTTTGTGTATCTCATGAGGTAAAATACGATCCAAATTGTTAAGAGCATTTCGAATGATGTCACTTTTTGGAAGCATCAAAGGCTTCTCACCTTTACTGTTTTCATCACTTATTGAAGAATTATAAAAGAATTGCAAGAAAATAAAACTTGGCTTAATCCCGTCATTTCGAGGATTAGAAACTTCAGTAATACGTTGATTTGAGGAGCTTCGTTTTACTGAGGTAGTTGCATTTGAACGGACTAAAGCTGGACTCATCACCGAAATAGTAGCCAGTCTACCCCTTGGCACATGACTAAAGTTTTCCGTCTTAGATTCATTGATATCCTCTAATTTAGCTGGAGTTTTAGGGGGAGTCCGGGGATTTGAAGGCAAATTTGAACTTATGGTGGCTTTTAATGGAGAAATAATTGTTTGGCTAGAGTAATTTTTGCCTTCAATCAAAGTCTCAGGATCCAAATCTGATTTAATATCTGAATTGAAAAAAACTTCTTTACCAGCTGAGTCAGGACCTGGACTGAGAGTTGAGGCTTCTGAGGCTTTTTTTGTGCTAAATCTTGAAGGTGATTTCCAACTAAATGAAGATGCACGGGAAAAGGGTGAGGTTTTAGAATCCGCTTTTCCAAGGGACGATGCACGAGACAATTTAGCCATGTTATTTTCATCACTTTCTTCCTCACACAGAATATTAAGATCACCGTTATCCGATATCACTTCTTTCGCTGCTGCAGGTGATCCTGAGGCTGAAGTATTTTTCGAGTTTTGACCAATCACTTCTCCTCTCTCCATGTCAGGGCTGGAACTTGCTCGCCTAAAAACGGGCGGAGATGATTCTGGTGTATCAGAAGCCAGAGCGTCTTCACCACGCACTACACTTGAATCAATCTCAGCATCATTGAAATCAATTTTAACTGGTTTTGAAGGATATATAGGTGTTAAATCATTTGTTAAACTGTCAAATGGGCTGCAAGGATAACAAGGTATATTTAGTCTATTTTGGATCTTCATTTTCCAACAAGTTGTTCCACTTGGTCTTCGGATCAAAACTTCAGCCCAACCTTCACACCAACACGAGCAGGTACTTGATTCTTCGTAATCATCATTTACAGCATATGAACTGTTAGAGTTAAGGTGAGAATCGTCCAATGCACGGGCAGTTGGTTTACTGGTACTGGTTAAATTAGGAGTGATCGCAGATTGATGTCTCCTTCTTGAAGTATTTATGTTCCTCTCATTTTCACTGGAGTGATTTATTGTTGAATTAGTTGTCAATACTCCACTGTAATCAAGAGTTTGATTAAAACTTCTCGGCTCATTTAACGTCGAAGAATTTCTGATAGGGTTGAATACTTCGTCATTAGAAAAATCAGAGCCCGTTCCTAGTTTACAAAATCTAAAACATCGTTCACAATAACCATCAACGAATGTTCTAGCTCGACAACCACTCGTGGTGATAGTGATCAGCCTTTGACCCATAAGCCAAGTTGAACTAATAGATCTATCGAGAAGCATATCCGAACCAATCGGCTCTGGCAATGTTGAACACAATCCTTGGGTGTATCGAGACAAGAGATCCATATGAGATTCCACCAATTCCGTGTGAAATTTTTCATTGGAATGCAACAGAGAAGAGGTAGAAGAGCTCACATTCTGTGCATTCGTATTGGATTGAGACTCATTGCTGTAAAAACGAAATGGATAATGGGAAAAAAGTTAACTTGATCAATTGTTTAAATAGAAATAATATATTTACCTTTTCACTGCAACATCTGAATTGAAACTTCCACTTCTTTTACGAATTTCTGCAGTTTCCGCAATAGATGATATAACGTTCACTTGCAGTCCCTATCAAGATAGAAAGTGAGTTAAACAAAATTTGGTAACTCGAAAAAGTTTGCGTATTCTGAATTTATGCCGATTTCTTACTTTTATTATGTATTTAATGATAACTTTACGATATGATAAACGACACTTCAAGAACCACATAGACATAACTCTAAAGGCCATCGCTACAATATAGTCTGAAAACCTTTAGAAAGACAAAAGAAAAGGTAAGTCGAAAATGTCTAATTTTGATATTTGTCATTCTTACTTTGATGGGTTGGTGAAAGGAAGGACAACAGCAAAGATGTTCAAGTACTGGTCAGATACAAAATCCTTGTAAAGGCGAGAGTGGAGAGTTACATCTGTAAGAAAAGACAGAGAGAAGGAGAAGGAGAAGGAGAGCAGAGTAACAATTAGCATGATGGTTTCAGGTTACCTATTATATTGAAAATAATAGAAATTGATTTACTTACAAGAAAGAAACTCAAGAAAAGGTATTGCAATTGCTACTGTAGACGAAATCTTAGAGAGGCTAAGGAGGACTTGTGGTAGATGTTTGATCATAGTATCTTGCATTTCGACAACACACAAAGACAGCGCATTAATACACTGGCAAGTAGCTTGACGATTAGGTAATCCTAAATAAAGAGTTCTAACCAGTAAACTCTGTATAGATTTTTCCATGTTATTAAAAGTTGACAGTTTCACCAAGAGGAAAAGAGAATAGAATATGTAAAGTTAGATGAGTTTTCAGAAATGAAAGAGGAAAATGAGTTAATCAATATTCTTCCAAGAGACTTTACCTGTGAAGCTGGTTCAATTAGCTTGTGATATGCAACAAGATTTGAAAGTATTGGGTATATGAAACTTTGGAATAGAGCATTATTCATCCGTTCAGGGGTGTTGGAAAGTCGCTCAAAAGTAACATGTTTTTCAACCTGCGATAGGTGAAGGGAAAAATTGAAGAAAGAAAGAAAATTAAGAAAAGGAATGATGAGGTAATGAATATTTGTAGGTTGATTGATCAATTCATGGATTGATTAGTCAAGCAAATGAAACCACAAAACAAATCTAATTCAGATAGATGACAGGTTTACAGAGAGAATTATTTTTCTATTGATGAGTCAATGGACACATACACAGATCTTTCAATGGTGATGACAGCTGAGCTGAACAATTTGCAAAGAATAAATTAGAAAGGAAATTCTTACCATGGAACAAAGAGTTTGGGTTAATTTGTTAATATGTTCTGAACTTGAATTGTGAATTAAGGCTTCAGTTGTGAGGAAATATGGCAATTTGTTGAGTACACCACTTAACTGTTCCCAATCTTTTTCGTTTTCAAGTGAATTGATAATTTTGGGGAACATTTCATCCAACGGTGGAGAATTGGTCAAACCCTGAGAGTAAAAAAAGAAAATCAAGAAGCAAAAAAAAAATAAGTAAGAGTAGAAGTACAAAAAGATGGAAAAAGAGATTTAAAAATCTTTTCTCTCTTTCTCTCTCTCTCATTCATACAATCACACTCTCTCTCTTTCTCTCCTTTTTTCTCTTGTTTTTTAGGTTAATTAAAAGAAAACAATTAAAATGAATAGGAAAATGTTTAACAAAGAGAAATTTTTACTCACCATTGTGACCAAGCTTTACTCAAACCAATTCGTAACACAACTAAAAATCACCATCAGTCAACATTAACAACTATCAGCAGACAACAATAGAGACCGATTTATATCCGAGTTAAATCCGATTCATACCCGGTTTTCAATAGGAAAAGGATCCGAATACTTTTTCCAGTTCCGTTGTAATCACTTTACGTTCAATCTAAACAAAAGTCGAATAAAATTAAATCATTGATAAAATATGGAAATAATTTAATCAACAATGAGTACAATCTAACAAACAACTAATCCACAATAACAAGCGAATTTAAATTAATTTAAATTACAATTTAAAAAGAAAATCTTTGAGTTTATCTCGTTGCTAAGCGACCGGAATAAAGAACAACTTTCCTGATGAGTTCCATCAGATGGAGACACTTGTCTAAGAACAATTAAGAAAAGAATTAATTTTTTTCTAATCAATTGACATTTAAATTTGATCCAATTGTTTTGACTTTGATTTCTTTTTTTCAGATTGACATTTAAGGAAATTGCAAAATTTGTTGATCTCTATGTGATTAAGTAGAAGAGAGAATTCATTGTGTCATTTGAGTCTTATGAGTGATTGATTATGTAACAATTATTTAAGAATTTGTAATCTCCATATTTATTGTTTTTTTAAAAGATTCATTTTGGTTTGATTGTTGACCAGTTGTACCATTGGCTTGTGAGTTAATTGTCTGTTTATGGTGATTTAATACGACATTTGTAAATGGCGGCCATTCATTGGGTGTATCTTTTGGTGTTACTTTTCCCTTTGAGTCTGGGGAACCATTGAAACTACTCCTTCTTTTGTCGTAACAAACCTAAAGAAAGAACCTGAGAAAAGTGAAATGAAAGAAGAGAAAGAAAGAAAGAAAGAGATAGTCATGAGCAGAGAATTAAATATTTACTCCACCTTTTGTGGTACTTGTTTTCCTGTGATTATCCAAAGAAAAGTATCCAGATAATGAAGAAGAAGATAAATATCTACCTCGGTTTCGGTTTTTCATTCTAACAGCTGATTTTCCATCACCAGTTAAATTTCTGGTTCATCTTTTGTGTTTAGTGAAAGACCCAAAGAGAAACGTGATTCTGGTTAATCAACAGATGGCGATCTAATTGTGAATTAATTTGGTCTCTCAAATCGTGTTGAGGTGAATTGCAATTGGAACCAAATTGACCTGTCATCAAGTAACAGGACAATTGAATATTTTATCTTCACCGGAATTTTAATCAAGTGTTGATATTGATTTGGATTGATGAGTTTACCTTGAAAATGTTACATTTGCTTTCAATCAATGAAACCATGTGATGTCTTGTGATCAGCTGTTGAAACCATGTTTTTTTCTAACGGTTGTAATTCAATAACTAAAGAATGTTGAAAATTAACCATTTGACTGTTAATTGTGTTGACAATTTATCATATTTAAGGTGTTCTAGACGTGGAGTACGATCTGTTCGTGTTGCCCAAGAGAGATTAAGAAAGTTAGAGGAGAAACATGCAATTGAAGAGGCTTTAATTGTCGCTAAGAAAAGGATCAATTGGAAGAATGGAAGAAACAAGATGAACAGAAATTAATTGATTGGACTGGCTGGAGACGAAGATTCGAAGATGATAAAGCGGCCAAATATGTTCCATTACCATTGAGTTTAACTGGGTTCGGTGATGGAGCTCGGCCAAGATACTGGACTCTTAAATTGCAAAAAGCTTTACAACAATGGGCAGAAGAAGTGGCCAAAAAGCAAATATCGTTTTCAGATAAAATACCGGCCTCATTGGCAAATTATTTAAAGTCAAATGAATCGTTAATTGATACAAAATTCAAACCTCTCTGTGATAAAATGACTCAAGAGAAGTCAACTGACACCACAATTGAAACAAGTCAAGGTAATTAACTAATATGAAGTGTAAACATCTGATACAATTAATTATCATCAACTTGTATTTTTTACAGATACATATGATAACAAGGCGATACAATTTCCGTTTGAATTGCTTGATGAACTTAAACAATCTGATCAAGAAACTGCTGAGAAATTGGCTAAGCCAAAAACATTTCCTTCTGGTTTGGTTGATAAGGATTATGAGAATTTTTTAAAACATCATAATTTTGTTCAAAATTTAGCTCATAATTTACAAAATATCAAACCAATTGACTATGAGGAAGAAATAAAAGGCTGGGGAGCAGAGTTATGGCGTCGTAATTATGGTTCACCGGATCCAAGGGTCAAACCAAGTACAATTCCGTGCGGAGGTTGTGGTGCTTATCTGCATTGTACTGATCAAGCTCTTCCAGGTTATATTCCTAGTGAAGTTTACAAGCAATTAAAGCCATCTGAGTTGAAGAAACGTGTTTGCCAGAGATGTGACTATTTGCACAGTTACAATGTTTCAATTGACGTCAACGTACCTACTAATTTATATCCTGCAATTATCACTGAGATTCAGCAAAAGACAGGGATCGTTATTATCATGGTTGATATGACAGATTTTCCTGGATCCATATGGCCAAATATTATCAAATTGATTGGTAAAAATAGAAAAATCTATATTGTCGGCAATAAAGTAGATCTACTCCCTAAGGATGGTGTTGGTTACTTGGAAAGAATTGAAAAAGCGCTGAAACAGGCGGTTAGAAATGCTCATGGAGCCGAAGAGGGCATAAATATCCGATATACTTGTTTAATCAGCGCCAAAACAGGATATGGTGTCGAAAGGTTAATCACTAAATTACTAAATGATGACAATGGAACCAGAGACATATATTTAGTTGGTTGTACTAATGTTGGAAAATCAACCTTGTTCAATGCATTATTACAATCAGATTTATGTGCAAATCGGAAAAACGATTTAATTCAACGTGCAACTACTAGTCTGTGGCCTGGAACGACTCTTAATCTGCTGCGATTTCCTATTAATCAACTTCGTGGTTGGTTATTAAGACTGAGACGTGTCAGATTAAAAAGACATGAAAAATTGAGACAGAAAGAAAAGGATATGCGACTTACATTATATCGTCAAACTAAGAATCCTCGATTAGCCATATTGAATGATCGTGTTGATACTTCTTTCCATGAGAATTTACCATTTTCCGTTGAAAGTGGCCATCCGATGGCTACGAAACATGTTTCACCCAAAGCATTCGATGCTGCCGATTTTGCCTACAAAAATTATCGATTTTTCTATGATACTCCGGGTGCAGTTTACAAAGAGCAATTGTTAACTCTTTTAACAACCGAAGAACTGATTAAGACAATTCCTAGAGAAACAATTGTTCCGAGGACATTTTCTCTTTGGCCTTTCCAATCGCTTTTTATCGGAGGACTGGGTCGTCTTGATGTGGTTCACGCTCGTCAAAATATCTTGTTGACAGTTTTTGCTTCTCATTATTTACCCATTCATGTAACTTTCACCGAACAAGCCAACCAGTTTTACAATACTTTCCTTGGATCTGAAATGCTCGGGGTACCGATTGGTGGAACTGAAAGGTTAAGCAAATGGCCAATTCTTATTCCAAAAGAAATCGATTTAACTGGAATCGGGTGGAGAGAAAGTTGTGCTGATGTTGTCCTTTCTTCTGCAGGCTGGATATCAGTTACCGCTGACGAATCAACTGATCTGGTCCTTAAAGCTTTCACGCCAGAAGGGAGAGGAATTTATGTCCGTCAACCATCATTGTTACCATTTGCTGTCAATATGCGAGGACCTAAAATCAAAGGGACGCCTTGTTACGAGGCAGGTAAAACCACAATCGATGAAATCGGCGATGATGGTTACTTAATTGGTGAAAAACAACCGGATCCTCAACGAAAACTACCTGAATACAAAGAGGAAACATTAGACAGAAAAGAGAAACAATTTAGATTAACTTATTAACGATTCATGTAAATTCATAATTGTACAAAGACGAGTTCTAATTGTTAGATTCTTGATAAATATAAAGAGAAAAATTTTCTAAATTTTCTTAAAACTTATGGATTAATATAAACAAGCAATTAATTCTTAAATCTTGAAATGATAAATGCTAATTATGACATTTACGATAATTTTATCAATCAAAATTTTCGAACGAAACAAAAAGTCAACAAAAATAGTAATTGAACCGAATCGTTGAATGTGTTTTGATTGCAATCGAATTTTCAATCAGATAATCTACCTATTTTAACTAATAGCAATTTAATTCAACAGTTAAACTAATAGAATTTTTTTCAGCAATCCAACAATTATCAGAACATTAATCAGTCACAAACGACGAGGTTAACGTGTTTAAAATTGTTTCTCTTTTTGCTTCGTTAATTAACTGATTATTTTGATTGAGAAAAAAGGTGACTTGTAGTATCAAAGAGCAAGAATGAAGAGAAAAAATCACAATTGATTAGTTAAAGAAAATAATTTATCCACTTACAATTAATCCTTTTCTCTATTAAGTAATCTAATTTTTTGTTCTTACTTCAATCTAATCTTGATTAGTGTTTGGTAGTCAACAAGTAACTTACAAGACAACAAGTTGATTGTTTTCATTATCCTCATGGTTTTCAATGAGCCATCACTTCAATTGTGATCATAATTAACTTGTAATTAGTGACCTTCAACTGACCAGATAATTTAAAATCCATCGAGTTAAATGTGATATTAATTTAGGAGAATGGCCCAAGTGAATAATAATAAAACAATCGTTGATTATTTACCATGTTCATCAACAGTTTCCCAATCAACAAGTCCACCAACATCAACTAATCAAAGTAAATCAGCTCTACAATTAAATGCTCGGAAACGAGCACAAGTAATTTTTAATCATATTAAAATGTCAAGTTATCGAGATGGTCCCTTTGCAATTAAACCAAATAAAACAGTTGAAACCAATATTGAGAAATTAAATCAATCAATTAACAAAATTGATGCTTCCAAACCATCTGATCCAGTTGAGAATCCAATTAAACCAAAGCCGGGTGATTGTAATAATTTACCAACCATTGGAATGGATTTAATTGCAAGTGAACATGATGGAATAAGGAAAATCAGAGCGATAACAATTAAATCTGTTCTGTGATCGTAATAGGAGACTAATTGTTATTAATTAAAAATGATTCTTTTGGATTTTATTATTTTTGTATGATATAAATAAGTGCAATTCTTCAGGTCTTTGGGGAGAAAGCAAATCATACAACATTAATTACTACAAATCGAGTAATTATCATCGATCCAGTGATACAAATTGAATAAACATTAATTCTGTTTTTTTCTGTGTTTTCTTGATACGTTAAAAAAATTAAACTTTGATTATTATCCGGTGACGATTTTGACTTTTTCTTAATAGTTTCTTTTGCAATCGTTTTTCAAATCACAACGTTAGAAATAGTGTCCAAATGATACCAAGATGATTAAATCTTTTCGGTTAATTTATTTTCCATGTCTTTGGTTGATTAGAATAGTTAATAAGAGTGACAATCTTCATGATTTCACAAGGAAAATCTCAATTTAGTTGATTAATTGGATAACCTTGTTGGTGACAAGTACCAGTATTGAATTAGATCCGATGCAATTAGACTTGAAAGATTATCACTTCGACTTGATTTGGGATCACGGCAAAGTCAAAACACGTTACAGATTAAATTAGAAGATGAAAATGATCAGGAAAAAAGTGCAAACAGCAATTACACCACTGATGATTATCGTATCTTTCCTTTTTCGGATGTTTATCCGGTGAATTAAACTATTGATTAAAGGGAATCGATCTGTAATATTGAATGAAACGGTTAATTATCGTTGAGTTGAACTATTGGATTAAACTTACTGGCTAAGGTTGTCATTTGTGTTTGGAAAGCTTTGAATGTAGTCCTCTGGTTGATTAGATTCTCTCTGGTCCTTGAAGCAATATTAATCTGCTCTTCAATCATTATTTCTGAACTGTGAGGAAATAGAAAAGGATTAAATTAAAAATGAGTAATCAAATGATGCGTCGTATTTGATTGTCACACTTACTTTCTAATATGCTCTTGTTCCTTCAGGTAAAGGTCGGTTATCTTATTAGTGGAAGATAGGGAAGGATAATCAGTGTTTCTCTTATTACCGGACAACAATTGTTCCCTTTGGATAACATCCATCATGTTGCTTCTTGTTTTTCTAAATTCATTGGAATAGTCATTCAAAATTTCCCGGTGACGTTGCACAGTGTAAATTGCACTTGAATTCTGAACCTGTTTGGTATATTCGGACATATTGTTATTGATGTCGGTTAATTTTTTCAATAATCTTTCAATTTCACTGGTAATCCTTTCGAATACATCGTTTGTATCTTCAAGAAGTGGAACAGATTCACTAGAGGAACTGGTTGAATCTCTTGAGGCAAATTTAGAGAAAGCTAAAAGCTTTGAATCAATATCGTTCTCTAAAAGTCTGGCCTCTCGCCGAAGCTCTAGAAGAAAAGAAAATTCATTAAACACACAATTAGAATTTAATTAAAACAACACAATTTAAATAATTACCTTCCCAACGATTAGCTGTCATTCTCAGCAAATTATCAACACCAATTTAATAACAACAAAAGTAAACAAAATTTTCTGCTAAAAACAAGAAACCAACTCATCCTATGAAAGAATGAAAAAGAATCCACTAGATGGCAGTTACTTCGAACTATTTGTTAACTATTTTTATCTTCATTTCATTAAATTTAATAATTGACAATTATGAATTGTCAATTCAATGATTAAAATGAAAATTTCTCATCTCTTGATCAACTTTTCCTGAAATCAAATTGTTAGTTAAAGACAATAATTAAAAAATATGATCGAATTGATTTGATTTCTCTCTCACCACCAGATGACAGCACTTAGATTGTTTGGTTCTGGCGATTTTGTTACTCATAGTAACTCATTGGTTCACATTTTGATTTTTAATTGTTTTTAATTTTAGCTTTTCATTGTTTTCCATTCATTAATCGATTTTTAGTTTAATTGGAACAATTCAAAGATGGTTCTTCTTATTGGTAGCCAATCTGTGATATCCATTACCCATAAACCTCTGACAGTAACAAAATATAATCTTGATGGAAATTGTGATTCTCCGGTGTTACTAAGTCTTCCGCCGATAGTTAATAATTCAAATGGTCCTCCTGGTTCAATTTCTCGTGGTGCCGATGCTGAGGAAAGCTCTGATGATGACAATGTCGATAATATTGGTGAAAATGGTGCCGAATCAAATTCTAATACTGCCAAATCAGATGGAAATGTGACTTGTTTTGCAAATGAGAAAAGACATGTTGTCTCAGGTGGATTATCTCCTTCTGAGAAGTTTTTAGTTTTATGTGATGATCATAAACAGTTAATTGTATACGAAGTTGATTCTTGGAAAGTTATGGGAGCCATTAAGGTTGAAAGAAAATGTGATCATATTATTTTCAATGAGAAAGAGGATAAATTTATTGTCTCCGATCGTTCTGGTTGGATTTATGGTTACGAGATTAATGCTTTTATTGACCATTCGGAAAACAAAGGGAAATTTCTTCTTGGACATAACGCAATAATTTTGGACGTTAAATTCAGCCCTGGATCTAGATTCCTAGCTACATGTGACCGTGATGAGAAGATTCGAATTTCTAACTTCCCAAATTCTTATAACATTGAATCATATTGTTTGGGTCACACAGAATTTGTTTCATGCCTCGGATTTATTGATGACCAAACTCTCGTCTCTGGAAGCGGCGATGGAACACTAAGAGTTTGGGAATATATTAAAGGAAAAGAACTGAGCTGTCATAATTTCAAAGATGATTTGGAACTAAATCAAAAGGACGATAAAATAGCACCAATGGAAATACACATAACCACAGTCGATGTAATCGGAACCGTGGTTATTGTTACTTTTTTCAATTCACCAACATTCATTACCTACACTTATGATAAAACTACTAAGAGCTTAGTGAACTTGATCAAGACCAAAGTCGAGGCCAATATACTTGGGTCAGCGCTCAATAATTGCGGTGGATTTTTATGTTTCATCGAGCAACCATTTTCCATTGCATGTTTTGAACTATCGATGTATAAAGGTGAAGTTTGCCTGTTCGAAGCGAGTCATAAACTGACCACTGCTCTTTTACAAAATGTTAAATTCGTCGAGGAATATATTGTCGAAAGGAAACAATTAACTAACATTGGATGGCTTTGGAAAAACTCTTACAACAATCAGAATGTATATTTGGAACGGAAAAAGGAGAGACAAGAAACACAGAGCAAGAAACTAAAATCAATCTGAAAATCAACAATTAAAACGAAAATGATATGAAACTACAATCAAATATTGCCACTCATCGTCACTTATCAAATCATCCACTGTAAATTCACTAATCAATATTTTGACCTCATCAAAATTAAAGACCATTAATTAAGTTAAATCCATAATAATGATTTACCGATAATCATTTTCTGTCGACATCTTGATATCGACTCAAATCTAATACATCCAATTAACTGTCACTCTGTTTAATGGTCATGTAAATAATCATCGATCTAATCAATTAATAATAAATGTAGATGATAGCAATTAGATTGAGAGAAAATCAAATGAAAGATGTAAAAGTGAGAGAAACCTTCATGTAAAATCAATCGATTGGGCAACAATCAACATTGGTTACTAACGACAATCTATTATTATGACAACCATACAGGTAGAAAAGTTAAAAATAATTAAGGCAAACAAGAGATTAGTGAATATCAAATGGTCAAAGGAAAAGGACAGAAGAGACTGTTTGACAAATTATCTTAATCTAATTGTGAGTGATCAAGTAATTGCGATGGATCATCATCATTTAATTTCTAATGATCATCATGATCATCTTGTTCCCCAATCGACCAATTCAACCCCATCGTCAACTGAAACTTTAGCACCGACAAGAACATTAGTCTGCCGCTCTTGTCGAATTAGTTTAGAATCGGAAAGACCTCGTTCTATGTGTCCTTTTTGTGGTACTTTTTATAACGAAGCGGCCGAAGATGATTACAATTTAAGATCAAGAGGATTACATCAATTAGATGATAGTTTCGACAGTGAAGATAATCTAAGATTACCAAGATTGGTAAGTTAGTCATCCTGGTGTTTGATTGTCTCTTAATTGTGTTCATTTATTGATTGTTCGTGTTAGAGACCAAGCTTATTTCGTTTCACTGGATTTGGACCTTTTCTAACCGATTCGATCGGTTTAATTCATTCGTATCTCGCATCTTTATTGGTTCGATCTCCGGTTGATTCTGATTCCAATATTTATCTTCATTTACCGCCCATTGGAAGAGCAACAATTGTCGATGGTTCTCACGATAATATCAATCGAAGAAGAAGACGAATATCATCATCTTCATTTCTTTCATCAGAATCACCTACATATGAACAATTAACTTTTAATCATTTAACGCGATCTCATGGATCAACAACATCATCAGCAAATAAGTCAATCAACAATTCAGATTCACCGGATCTAAGCAAAAATTATTCATCAATGATTCTGGAGACTGATTATCCCAAACGTTACCTTGATCTCGACCAATTTAGGTAAATTTTCAATCAAATCAAGATAATTTACAAAATTTTCTTTTGATTTCTTGTGATGATTAACTATTAATTGTTAGATCAATGGTTCATGAAGCTCATGAAGAAGGAGATTACAATAAATTACATGATCTTTACAAAATAACCTTCTCATCATTCATTGAGATCAACGCTTTGTTCAAGAAATCAAATTCAGACGAACAAGTTAAGTTACATGATCCAGAATTACAGATGAATTTGGTTTACTCGATGTTTGATGAATTAGATCAACTGGTGAGTTAATTAACTATCAGACTAACAATCAGTGTGATAACAATTAACACAAACTATCATTCTAAAGCCTTCGTTCATTGTTAAATCGGTTCTCAAAGGAATTGTCTCTTCACTTACAAACTTTCACAGGTAAGGATCAAAATTCAAATCCCATAAATTAAACAATCGATTAATTTAAGTAACTAAATTAACCTTGACAAAAACAAACTGTTCACAATTTAAATCAACACTTACCAAAATTACATCACAATTTAACAATTTGAATCAATTCACAACAATAAGCAAATTAATTTCTAAGGTTTATTGAAATTGAAGGTTATCAATGGAAATTATCATGATAATAATTAATCAATGAATTAGTGAAAAATTGTAAATTGGTTTTTAATTATTCCTAATTGATTAATGATTGTTACTTTTAATGTTGAAGATTTAAAAAAACTATTGATTAGAAAACAATGATTAACTTGAATAAAACTGAAAATTGATTGTTTAGTTGACATTCAACAATTTAATCAATAGATTTCATTATTGATCAATTTTATTCACTTTAATAAATAAATTTAAATGTCCAATTGATTGATTACCTTTTTTTTTCATTCAGGTTGAAACCTAAAGATGAAACCAGAGCAATTTACATTATTGTTCAGGTAATTTGAATTAATCGTCGAATTCACAGTTAACTAATTAATTGGTTTCTCCTTCCTTTAAGCTTCCAACATTTTCGTATCAATTTTCATATCCAGTTTTTGCTCATCTGATTAAGAAAACTGTTAACCTTCAAGGTGGAGATCATCAATTGCTCATCCATTGGTTTTCAAGGTTAGTTAAGTGAAGTAACTAAATTAAAGGTTAATTGTTTCATCCATCATTAGATCAGAACCAGAAAGAATTAGGAAATTGGTCAAACGTGTCTTACAGTTTATAACAATCCGAGAGTTTCCACCGAGTAATGGCCAAGGGCTTCCGCCGTCAGGCAAATGCCGTTGGTGGATCCCAAGTGCTACTAGATTTTTAGATTTAATTAGTGAGTTTACCAATTTTCAGTCAATTAAATCAACTAATTGAATCTCCGAATATCATAAATTGTAGACTCTGCTAATAACAAAGTAACGCCAAACTTGATTCCGTACACTGAGTTTTATAATAGTGCTCTTGATCATATTAATCTCATGGGTGAATTTAATCGTTGGCAAAATCCGTCTAAACATAATAAGTATGCAATGAATATTTTTATTTGAACAATTAAGGAGCAATTAACTGTCTATTATTACACTCAGGTTCTCTTATTGTCAATATCCATTCATTTTAAGTATCGTTGCCAAGAAAACAATCTTACAAAGAGACTCAGAGCAACAAATGATAATAAATGCAAGAGTAAGTTGATTTTGATTGTTTATTTAGAATTTTAAAAAATTAAAATTAAATTTGAATCAACAATTAACAGAAAAGTTTAATAAATCGAGCGATTTACCAACAAGCTCCAGATATGGATGTTTTTTTCCTCAATCTAAACATAAGAAGAGCAAATTTAGTATCCGATTCACTTTATGAGGTAAATGGTTTCTATTAATCTTTTCCCTTCATTATCAACTAATTGCTAACAATTAACAAAATACTTTACATCTATTAGATTGCTAGAAAACAGAATGATTTGAAAAAGAAATTAAAAGTTACCTTCGTTGGAGAACCAGGTCTGGACATGGGAGGATTGACCAAGGAATGGTTTCTACTTTTAATCAGACAAATTTTCTCTGAAGATTATGGTAATTAACTTGAGAAAACAACAATCAATCGAATAACAATTTAGTAATCAGTCTTTAATTGACCATAGGAATGTTTGTTTACCACAGTAAAGCTCGATGCTATTGGTTTAGTACAGCTCAAAATGGTAATCTTAAAGAGTACAATCTAATAGGTGTGGTGAGTGGACAGTCAATTCTGTAATCAGTTCTGTCCAGTTATTGATTTACCAATTAAAACTTTTCTTGTAATCAATAGTTGATGGGATTAGGTGTTTACAATAGTATTATTTTGGATTTAAATTTTCCCCAAGCCTGTTATAAGAAATTATTATCACCTCAGTTGCACCCAAAGATGTCGGTAAGAATCAGGTTGGAGTTTGTAAATTTACACTCGACCACTTTTCGGAAGTGATGCCGGTGAGTTAATTGTCACAATTGACTATCAACATCAACTAATTGTGCTTCTAATTCACTTATTTAAAAGGATGTTGCTGTGGGATTGAAAGAACTATTGGCTTATGAAGGTAATGTTGAAGAAGATTTTTGCATGACCTTTCAGGTGAGTTCGTAGTTCTAATTGATTTATTTTCGATTTAACTAATTTGAATTTAATTCTGGTATCTTTTAGGTCTCAGTTGAGGAGTTTGGTCAAATTCAAACGCATGTACTTAAACCAGGAGGTGAAGATATTTCAGTTACTAATCGTAATCGAGAAGGTAAATTGTTGATACCCAAATGCTTTCATGGGACTAATCAAGTTACTTAATTTGTTGATCGTTGATTAGAATACGTTCAATTGTACATGGATTTGATTTTGAATAGAGCGATTTATCAACCGTTCGAAGCGTTTTATCTTGGCTTTCACAGCGTTTGTACATCCAATACAATAATCGTAAGTAGACGATTCAGAATTTAGTTCAAATTCGATCTGATATTTGATACGATTAAATAGTTACTTCGACCTGAAGAAGTTGAAGTTTTAGTCTGTGGTTCACCGACCATCGATATGGAGGAGCTGAGAAAGGTCACAATTTATGATGGTCTTCATGAAGAAGAGCCAATAATTAAGTATGATGATTAACTTATTCATCTCTGCAGTTCGCACGATAATCAGTTGAGTGTTTTAATTTTTTTCAGGGAATTTTGGTCAATTATTAAATCATTTAGTATTGAGCTTCAGCGTCAATTTTTGCGATTTGTGACCGGAAGCGATCGCGTTCCAGTCGGTGGTATGAGCGAAATGATTTTCAAAATATCAGCCACTGATTATAACACTGACATGTAAGTTAATTAATCAAATAAGTGCACAATTAACTGATCAGTTAATCAAAAATGAGCCCAATCGATTTGAAGACTTGAATAAATTATAATGAAACTTTTGATTGATTATCAAATCGTTGTTTTTATTAATAACTAACGAAGGACTAATGATTATATTATTCTATCATTGATTAATAATCAATAAATTGTTTCAATCGATTGGAAAGTTATTATCAAAGATACTAATTTTGAATTTTATCTGATTAACTTTCTTAATTAGGCTTCCAACTAGTCATACTTGTTTTAATCAATTGGTTTTACCTCGTTATAAGGATAAACATTTACTTCGGGAAAAACTGGTCATCGCAATTTCAAATGCTGAAGGGTTTGGACTCGAATGAGTTGATTGTTACAATTATCTATCCATAACTAAATTATCAATTAATATTAATACAACTCATTCACATAAATGACATGTGATAATTAACAAAAAATCAACTGATTTTAAATGTACTAAGAGGTTAATTACCAAAGCAATTGAAGCAATGATTTCACAATCAGTAAATAAGTTTATTATACTCGTGATAATTAATGACGTTGATAAATTAACTTTAAGTTATTTTCCCCCTTAATTGTTGATTAAATGGTTTATATTGCAAATCAAATTCACCTTGCTTACAATTGAAGTTTAATGATAATTTAATTTTCTTTCTCATAACTGATACAATCAGACAGTAACAATTTAGTAATTGTTAGACGATAAAATAAATAATTACAATGTTTTTCATTAAAATTAATAATAGCAAAATGAGCGGGAGAGACAATTAAAATTATCATTACTTCTTAGCTGGTGAGACTTAATTACGATCAAATTGATCGCAGTTTTGCACAATTATGAAAGTTGAGGCAATTAAATCAAAACAGAACCTTGAGAGTAATTAACTGAAATTAATCAAAGAGACAATGGAAAATTTTTCTTAAGGAGCATCGAAGTAATCAAATCAATTCAAGGTACGATTTCTATTGACTAGTTAATGGAAACTTTCCGATTTTAGACAAATTGTTACTTAATTTTCTATTTAACAATTAAGTTAATTACTGTTTTCAGGTAATGATGACCTTGGAATACATGTAACTCAATGATAGAGATGATCTAAGATGTTACATGAAAAGATGTAACAGACAGAATATTTTTCTGAATCAATCGATTGTGTTACCTGAGTTAATTGTTATTAAATCACTTGATTCTAAAGTATCTTGAACCAATGATAGAGAATACAATTGCCCAGCAAGTAACAATAGCGTAAGTGTGAAGTGCATCATAGTCATTGAAAGTTAAATGGGAATAAAATATTTTCCTGATTGTTGCCGAAGCTGAAGTGGTTGGGATAATTGCTGAGATCCATTTGAAATAAGCTGGAATCGCTTGGAAAGGCCAGAAGATTGATGAGACTGAGATAATGATGAACAAAGAAGCTGCAGCGACCATGACACAAGATTCAAGTCTATCACAGACAACGGAGAGAAACATCCCATAGGTAATACCTGAGATGTTCATGGCCATGAGAAGAGGAACTGAATGGAGAACTGAACTCAAATTTGTTGGAATATGGAACAATTTGATCGGTAAGAAAGTGACCAAGAAAAAATATGGAATCATGAATAAAGTTCTGGCCAGTGAGAGAGCGAACAAGAATTGAGTTGAACTGACCCCTGCAACTAAATTACGTTCAAAGGTTTGATTGGTTCGTTCGGTGATTAAGTTAAATGCTACAGTTGCGTAAGAAACAGCAAACGTGATGCTGATTATCATTCCAGGGGCGATAAAATCAAGATGACCAGATAATTCAGCTCTCTCATAGCGATCATTAAAATTAAGGGAAGATTTTATCGCTTCTTTTATCTGAACTGGGGGATTAGCGATGAAAGATGAAAATTTAAGATTCAAAATATCAGGTAAAGAGAGAGAGATCATTACATTAACCAAGTGAGTTAATGATTTTCTTAATCGTCGAACCAATGAAATTGCAACAATCGGATCAGTGAAATCAGCATGAAAGGTTATTGTTGATTGTTTGATTATATCTTGATTATTAACCTCCATTGAAGTAAATCGATCAATAAATGATTGGGAAAAATTGGTTGGAAATTCAATCACACCCCAATTAGATAATGAATAAGCTGAATCAAAGGCTTCCTCGAAATCATTGTACAAATTGATGTCCAAAGTTGTTTCATTCAACATTGAGAGATAAATTGTTGATAAACTGTTTGACCAGTCGTCACGATTGACCACTGCCATGGGAACATGATGAGGTTGATTACCGATACAAATACAGAGCAAACATATTTGACTTAACGGGATAAAGTATTGAAATGCAAGGGTGAATGGATCAAGAGCTTCATGATTAATGAACCGAATCACTAAAGCAAAATAAATTGTTAACCAGGTTTTCATTGAGATGATTAGTGATTTAAATGTTGATTTAGTTGAGTTGACATTTTCACCTGAAGCCACTGAAGTTAATGAGTTAGTTTCGTTTGCTGATAAAATTAAATTGTTACCATATTGGCCGTTGGTATATTCATCGGGATTGAGACAAATTTTTAGAAAAACGTCTTCTAAATTGTTCACTTGCATCTTGTTCATTAATTGCTCAGGATTATCTTGGAGTAAAACGGAGCCTTTCCTCATGAAACCGACATTATTTGATCTTCGAGCCTCTTCAATGTAATGAGTCGTGATGATTATAGTTGTACCTTGAGTGGAAGATAATAACTGTAAGAGTTTCCAGATCTTTTCCCGGAGAACTGGATCAACTCCTGATGTTGGTTCATCGAGAATCATTAAACACGGCGAATGAACCAGAGCACAGCCAAATGAGACTCGGCGTCTTTGCCCACCTGATAATGAACTTATCCTTTGGTTGGCATCAGGTAATTCGAGGATATCAATAAGTTCACGAATTCGTTGATTCAATTTTGATGAATTCATTTGATAGATTCGACCAAAGTATCGAAACAATTGACTGATTGTCATGAAATCATAAAGTGCATCTTCTTGGGGCATATAACCAACATTGGAACCAGGAATTGAGATCAATTTCTTACAATTAGCAACAGAGTAACCGAATAATTTAATTGTTCCCGAAGTTGGTTCTAAATAGCCCAAAATTGATCGCAACAACGTTGTCTTGCCACAGCCACTTGGCCCTAAGAGCCCATAGATTGTGGATGAAGGTATTGAAAGATTAACATTGAACAAAATAGGATCACTTTGATTGGTTTGATAATTAACATCTCTAATTGAAACTGCGAGAGGAGAAACACTTTTGAACGGTAACTTTGAAACACCACAATTAGTTAAATTAGCTGACATTGTTTTTGAATGAGTTGATAATGCACTTGTTGTTAATGTTATTGTTGACATTTTCACCTTTCTTAGATCAAGACTTAATTTCAAATGAATCAGAAAAGTAAAGTTTTTTGATTGCGCCTAAGGGACAATCTGATGGAGATGAGGATGATGATTATCTTAAATAATGGTAAACCTTGAAATGATTTCAGGCCGAGGGAGATAGGGAGAGAGTATGAGAGAGAAGCATCTCCACCGTGAAGTCTTTAAAGTAATAAGAAAAGAAAAAGAAAGATGAAGATGAAGATGAAGATAACCGTATTGAAAACTTCTTACCTTATCTCACCTCATCATCTTCATCATCATTTCCTCATCTTCCTGATAACAGTTTATTCTTCCGATAACAATTAAAAGTTTGTATTCTTTCCAAATTAAGATACTAGGGAATAAGTGCTCACGCCAATACAAGATTCGTTCTTTCTCGGCTCATTAAATGTCAATCAATTCACGAATCATTGATTAGATTTGATTAGATTGCTCTTGACGTGATAACAATCAAATTCAAAGTTACTATTAATAAGTCTAAGGTGAAGGAGATTGTCAGAATAATTCTGATTAGATCTCTTCATAACTACCAAGATCACCACGTTCATACATCCTCTTGAATGGATATCGTTCATTCATATAAGTCGAAATCGATACAATATCGAAATCTAAATTATATGATTAGAAAGCTGATCAAGTTTAGTTCTTAAATGTGAAGTTAATTACCTCGGGAAGAATGAATTAATTGAATTGAGTTATATTTTATAAAGTTGATATTGTATTAAACACTTGTTAATTATTACCATCAAAGTGCATTGGACAAAATCAAATCAAAATCATTTGTTGTTAATTGTTGATTCAAAATGAAAACAGATTCAAACAGAGAGACTTAGTAATAAAACAATTAATCAACCAGTAAACAATCAAGTAACTGGTTAATTGTACATAATATAAAAATAAAAGTTGATCGAAACAGAAAGTTACAAGTTTTGATTTCTGTATAATTAACTATCATTATCGTGTATCATCATGATTAGTTTTAATTATCAGACTTTTGGACAATTTGTTTTTTTTTTCTTAAATGTTCATGATAATTAAAATCAAATCAATCCAATGTTTAATTTTAAGAATTAGTTAATGAAGATGATGATGAAAAGATGATAACAGTTAATAAAAAAAGCGAAAAAAGTAATGATCATATTAATCAAATGCTTTGGTCCATTGTCCAGTTTTAGTTTGGCGCTAATGATGATTTAAATTGTTGAAAACTTTGTGAGTAAATGTGTTGATTTAGTGGGCTGGTTAGTATCAATTGTTTAAGTGTATGAGTGGTGTTGATTGTGATTCCTTGTTCCCGATTCCGTCAAGTTCATGATCAATTGTTATTCATCTTTGTCGTTCGTTTATATTATTATTGCTTTTTTCGTCTCGATTCCAATTAACAATTTCTTTGAACATTTGGAACTCAGGGTAACATTGGAATCGATAGTTTTCTCCTTGTCTTTGTTTCTCATTCAGAATCTTATTCAAATTCATCAGGATTTATCATGTTTGTTTTAAAAGAAGCCATTTCATATGTTGCTCACAAATTGAGAGAGAAAAAACAAATCAAATTCGAGAATAAAAATAACGATTATGATCAATATTAACTAAGGCAATTTAAGTGTTGAGATGATGATGATAACCATAATAATAGATAACAATATGTTAACGGTATTTATCACGTGACTAATTTAAATTAATTGTAACTGAATTTGCAATTAGGTGATAAGGTTTTTGCAAACACAATAGAAATAAAAATCGAGGCTCAATAAACGAATACAAAAAATATCAAATAACCTGTCACAAGCTCATTCAGCACTCTTAGCACTTCAATGGTTAAATATGATAGACCAACTGATTCAAGTCTATAGAAATTTGCATGATTAAATCTCCTCTCGATTGCTGGTTAATTGTCTTCAGTAATCGACTTGAACTATTGCTGTTGGATTGTTGAATCGTTGCGAACATCAGATTTAAGTTTAACAAACTCTTTGGCTACTTCATCGTTGCTTCGTTGTGATAAAATACGAAGTATTGTCCATCCAGTTTCGTCCATTTGGACTCTTCGTCCTAAAGGTAGCCAACAATTGCAACTTCCTTGTTCAACGATGTCCGTTAATTGCATGATCGCCACACCAACAAGTCGATCTTCTCTAGCGAAACAATAATCCTTTACAGCGATGTGGAGTTCAAATGATAATGGTTCATCTTCATTTCCAATCATGCTGAAAGATTAAGAAGAGTTAAGCTTGATTAGTAATAATTTTTACGATTCAATCAAATCAGAACTTCAGATCAATGAAATTCCCTAATGAAAGGTAATTATTATCATAGCGGTAAATTTTATTCGCTTGTTAATGATAGAAATTACCGGTATTTTTAATTAACTTTAAGACCAGTGAACTTAGAAAAAAGTTTATCCTTGCACAAAAAATGAATTGTACAAAGTTCATTATTCTTGCCTTAATGATTTCCTAATAACCTCAGGCAATCATTTTCCTCTTACTCTTTCCCCATTTATTATTATAGTAATTGGAGTTATGAATAAACTCAATGAATTATTATAATATAATCTAATGTATACTCACAATGTAAACGTCTCATTGAATTTAGGGCTCAATGTATTGCTTTTTGTTTTTGTTGCAAATTTCCGCTTCTTGTCACCAAGATGAGGACCAATTAGGTTAACTTCAACGAAGGGTTTAAATCCACTTGGATTAGGCCAACGCAGCTCATTACAGGCCATAACTTTTTGAGACAAATTAAAGTTTCATATTAGTTGATTGTAAATTGTTACAATTTAATACTTACTTTTAACAGTGACTTTGTGTTCCCCTGTACCTGGATGGGTGAACAGGTCAACCTGTAACTGGATATCACCCACTGGTCCTTCTTCTCGTGTTGGTAAATCTGATTCAAGGTGAAATCAATAGAATGAAATTTGATTATTATTCAATTTTTATTCTTCGTAAGTTAATTGTCATTAATCTCGTTTACCTTGTTGAGTTTGAGTTGTGACAAATGTTTTAAGAAGCGTATCCGTAGTCTGTGTGTAAAGAGATAAGGCGTATCGAAGTGATTGAAGTTCTGGACTTTTCTCCAAGAAGGTTTTCTTCAGGCCATTTCCACCTGCGTGGAAATATTGTTTGATCGTTTCCAGGGCAACATCAAGAATCGCACATTGTCGAGGAGTTAAATTCTTTTCGAATTGCAGTGGAAGCTATTGAGTCAGAAGAGAAAAATATAAATTTAATTCTATTGGAATCAATTTTCGAATTGAATTTCTTACCTCCATTACACTTAAATTCGGTAGTTTATTGGCAGTTACATGATTTCTGAAAAGTCTCGATACATCTTCGATCTTGGCATTGGGTAGATTTTGTAAAAGAACATTTTTCTCTGACACTGGTGGCAAAACTATCGTTTTCTCGAGAGTGTGAATAACAATCTTCCAAAGTTCTTTGAGTAAACGCTTAAGTACAGTTCGTTCACAATATTGTGCAAACAGACTCAGTTTACCATCAAGAAGATCCATTAATGGGCCAATATATGATCTGCTTCCGCGGCGACATCTTGCTGGTTACGAAGAGCCGCCTTGTTCTGAGCCGAACCAGATCCTTTGACTTGGGCCAATAAGCCACTTAATTCTTGGACACTTTGTTTGATTGTTGGCTCCAAACTGATCAATTAACAGGTAAAAGTTAACCAAATATTAGTAAATCAATTATTTGAATTATCATCTTTTTACTCTTATTGTCAATTGTAAACTCACCTCTTGGCAAAAACGGCGCTCAGTTCATCCAATACTCCATTTAGTGATTGCTGAAGGTCTTTCAATATATTAGCAGCATCAGCTTCGAGCTATTGACAATTAAACATCATTTCCATAATTAGTATGTATTGATTTAAATCATAAGGCTGAAAATCAGTTAGTTCCACTGAATCACTACTTGGATTGAGGGTAAACTGTGTACTCTTGCCTCAGGGCATCAACACTCAGCTTATCCATTACAATTTTACCTCATTATTATGATCACTGTAGTGTAGTCAGAAACAATATCTACTTATTATTACAATCAACTGATTGCTTACCTTTTCACCTCCCATGGATTCAAACATCTTCTCCAATTGGACTCGTAATTGTTGAATATTGTTCATCAATATACATGACTGTAATTGGAAGATTGAATAATTAATCAACATGCAACCAAAAGCTGCTAATTGTTGAAAATTTAATTTCTACTCACCGTTTTTTCTTGTTTCACATAATTTGGAAACTCTTTCTTCAGAATCTCAGCATAAGCGGTTAAAACTTTAACGATCGTTTTGGCGAATCGCTTAAGGTAACGTTTGACGATTTCGGGATCAGGACATTCGAGTTTACTAATTACATCGAAACACTGAGTTAATTGTGTGAAAACATCCACCACAGAATTTGAGAAAAGTGAATGCTCAGAGCTTTGTTGGAACTGAAATGATCAAATTAATCAGAAATTAGTATTCCAATTCACAAAAAAGTCTTAATTGTAAACTTAATCACAAATCAAATTGATTTTGATTTAACAATCAATGTGTTGACACATTAAATGAGAATGAAAATCAACTATTACAATTGAATTTTTTTCTTCGTGTTATTTATCAATTAGCCTAATTAGATTGCTAAACAATCAAGCATAAGCTTTTAAATTAAGGTTCCTTTTTATGTGGTTAATTGTTAACAATTTAAATTGTAGGTCAAATTTTATCTTATTGTTGGTTATAATCTAATCGTGAATAAATTGTAAATACAAGTGAATAGATTAAGATAATTGAGATGATTGGATGGAGATGATAATCTACAATTATAAGTTACTGTTACAATTAATCATTGGAAAGGGAAAGTTGAATTAAATATGATTAACACAAATTCAATTCATGGTGGTTAAGATTCAACAACAACATTCAAGATGATTAACTGTAATTCCCTTGACAAATAATCATTATCAACAACAAACCTTTACCGTTATTGTTACTGATCAATTCAATTATTTTCAGGATTGTAATGATTAGTTTGAAGCAGAAAGAGAGATGGTAAAGATAATCATGAATTCTGAGGATTCTGTTTGAGATAAATAAAGTGAATCTAAATTAATCCATGGAAACTCATCAATAGTCAATCAATTGAATAACAATGTGAGTAAACAATTTGTAATGAAGGATAGAAACTAATTTCTAATTCAATACCGATAATGATTATTGGTTAACATTGAATTTATTGTAACTCAATTAAAATGACAACAGAATAGTTAAAGTTAATTGAAGGTAATTTAAGAGTAAGATAATTAAACAATTAACTCAGGAAAGACACACGAACCAACATGAGGACGAGCGATTGAAAATCAAAATGATTAACAGTTAGAAATGAATTAATCTCAACTCAAGTTTATCGTCAAGACGAAAATACGATATAAATCATGAGAATAATTCGGAACTCACCCCGTCTTTTTTATCTCGTTCGAAGGCACTTCTCAGATATTCGAGGGAAACATCGTCGTTCTCATTGAGCCATTGCATAACGAAAGGTTCGAACCAGCTAAAGATAATCAATAAAGAATAAGATAAATAACTGATGACATTCATGAGGGAATCTGAGTTAATACTTACGCAGGATATTCTGGAACTTGACCTTTGAATTGAGGTACATCTTTACAATAGGTATTATAAAACCATTTGACCTTAAAGTGAAGGTTCATATAAGCCGAACTACGACAACAACGATGCTGTTCATGCTCTTCCAGGGCAAACTTCATATCAGAGGCAAACAGTGACCACATTGTTGCTGCACTTAGATGACCAATGTTCAATTCTTGTGGGAATCTGAGATGATAGGAAAATAGATTACCGAGATAAGAAAACATTATCATGGATAATATTTACATCCATTTATCATTCAATCAACTTTATCATCATTAATATTATCATAATCATGATAAGAATCTTTCATGTAAACTGATTCATGTAACTTTATCTTCACTGTGAGCAAATCAGTTCGATAAACAAGAAAAGATAGACAGTAAATATTATCATTATGTCTTATCATCCATGTTATTTTCATGCTAATAACCATTATCACCTTGAAATCCTTTCTAAATAATTGTTGAACCTCAAGAACAAACAGAATCACGATGAAAAGTCCACACCCAATCGGATTACTTATCATCTTTGATAAATTGATGAATCAGAGAATCTGCTTATCATGATTACGTATGAGCTCAGTCGATACAATATTGACACTTTAATTGTTGACTGTTTTCAATTTGTTCTTTAGTATTTGTATAAAGTTGATTGGGTTAATTGTTCGTATTAAGAATTAACTTACTGATTGAGAACTGGATTATAACTGTTGCGATCTTCTTCAATAACAGAGACCATTAGAGCGATAAGTTTATGCCAAAAGTCAAGATTCTTAAGGCTCGGTCCTGGTTCGTCATTGGAATCATCCTTTTTCGGGTCCACTTGAAACTCTCTTGCATATAATTCAGTACAATTATTAAATAGAAAATCGTATGTTGACTTTAAACAGGCTTTGGCACAATCTTTTACGACCGTTGAGGCTCGAGGCGGACTTGATAGTTCTTGAACTTTCATTCGGAAAAATGTAATACTAGTTAGTAAATCAACCGTTGATTTAAGATCCTGAAGTTTTTCTGGACTTGAAGCGGGAAAATTGTTCTGTGTAGTAAAGGATAGAGTAAAAAGTTAAGCTCGTGAACAAAAAGTTTCAGGTTATATTTTTACTCACCCTGTACATGGAAAGGTCAATTCTAAGTGAATTGTGGAGTTGGTCCAAGAGTTTGACAAATTTTTCCTTCTACATAATAATAAATGAATAATAAATTCACCATATTAGAATCTATTAATATTTAGTTTCACAAACTTCATGGTATTCATGAACTTTAAATATAAACATTATAACTCATCATGAAGATTATGATTATTGTTATGACTGATTTACTTCAATCAGAACCATTTGATTTGTATACTTCAAGTTAATATTATCCGGTAAACATTAAAGTTTATGTATTATCATTATTACCCTGAAAATTGTTGGTTTGAAAAAAAAAAGATTCTGGTTGCAATCAAATTGATTCAAAGAAATGAACATTTCCGGTAAATCATTTGAGTCGATTGTTAAAATGGATTCTCAATAAAATTGACCTTAATTTAATGAATTTTCATTTTGATTGTTACAATAATGGACCAATGGTCATTTCCGTTTTCCATGACATTTATTGTCATTGTGATTACATGAAAAAAGATTCCGAAAGTTTTTACTTTCAAAGTTAATTTTTCGTGCCTTATATTGATTGTATAGTAATCAGCTATAATTTTCAAATCGATAATCGAACTGAGAAAACTATTATTTTTACTAATTGTACTTGGAAGAGGATTAAAATTGTCAAATCATTTGAGATGATTTAAAAAAGACAACATAATAACAGATAAGCTATTGAACTGTTCAAATGCCATATTCTTAATGCAACTATACCTTCAATTCATTGAATCATGTCTAGTGAATATCACAACGAATCCTAGTGTGAGGTTGAAAGTTTTTCCAACTTTTCTGATTTTGAGCTTAAAGTTCATTCAGAACTTTTTTTCTCAGCTGACAAAAGAGTCTGAATCTTATCAATGAACTTATCACTTTATCTCCATCATTATCATTCAGATCTTCTGGCAGATCATTCATATATCCACAGTGGGTGGTTATTCAGCTTGGAATATTGGAATAAGTTCAGAACCTCGGAGGCTTTAGAACTAATCCTTATTTAAATATGAATGAAAAGTTTTCTCTTATTTCAAGTTTCGTACTTTTTTTAACTAACTGTTAAGACAATGAGCGCATCGAAGTACCAAAAATCAGAATCGACAATTCTAAAACTTTACGATCACAATTAAAGATAAATTGTTGATCAAATAGCCATGAACTAAACATTTTTAATCATTTCCAAGCTAATGGAACCTTATTGTAAATGTTAGAACTGTTAATTTCAATTAAAGGTTAACTGTAGTCTTAAATTGTAACCAGAATAATCGAGAACTGAGAAAACCAAAGAGTTAAATTGATCGTAGCTAAAGATGAATCTAATTAATATCAATTACACATACAAAGATAAATTGTTGCCTTAATCACGATTGAAATAGTTTACTCAAGCAAATCAGTTGTAATTAATATTAATTGTTATATCTATGATACAAGAAAGCAAGAAAGAAAAAACTTACCCCAAAATTGGAAGCTGCAAATCTGTCGCTGGCTGAAACAGCCGAAGTAGCTGCTGTGTGTGCATAGTAAGCGTTAATATTAGCCAAGAGAGTGCTCATGACGGCGGGGACTCCTTGACACAGATATTTAGTGGAAAGACAATGGAAGTGCCTGAAATATTAATTTCAACATTAATTACAATTTATTATACTCATAATTTCAACCAGACACAATGTTAACTAATACCAACATATTAATAATTATCAAAGTTTCATATTGAGTTTCACTGATATCAAATTTCATTATCAAGTATGAAAAAGTTTTCAAGTTGCTCAGCATTTGGTTACGATCATGAAAACATATTAGTTCAGCTTGTATAAGATTTCATAGTCTCTCCTGATTCTATGAGTTATCAATCTTGGTGATTAACTTTTCGCTTCTCTTGTGTTAATTTAAATTTGTTCATTTTTTAAGTTAATTAATAACTAAATTGTTTAACTTACGTCATCGCGCCGTAAATCACTTCGATCCCATATCGCATTGCAAATTCATCGACGATTTCTTGACCAGGATAATCAAAATAAATCTTCCAACTGTCATCCTAGAATCAGAGTTAACAGTTGATCAGGTTGATAGAAAAAAAAATTCAGATTAATTGTTATAATGATAATTAAATCGTCTGATGAGTAATTGTAATTGATTAGCAAATCATTCATTGAGTCTATGAATAAAACTAATTAACTCAATCAAAATATTTATCTTAGATTATAATCTCTCGATTGATTGTTAATTATCCTGATTGTTCAACTTGGTAATTTATTATTAATCTACTACTATTTTGATGATTACTTGTCACGAAAACATTGATCTACAATTGTGATCATGATCATTATCACAATTAAAACAATAACCATCACAATTAAGGTAATCATTACAATTGGAAACAAAGAAAATTGTAGGCTCTCAACTGAAATATATCTGAGAGTTAATTGCAAACAATTATCTTGTCAACGAGGTTAATGTTATATTAATCTAGTAATTAACTTACCCCTTTGGCCTCTGGGATTTTGACAACACCTTGGTTAACTTTTTCACAAAGGTGATGGAAAATATTCTGATAATTTGGAAATAGAAAAAAAATAATCAGATGATTAGTATGAAGAAAATTCAGGCAAAAAATTAATTACGGATAATCTTCTCAATAGAACTTTTCCCCCGCTAATCAATTGGAGATTAATTAGCATAATTAAGAGAACAATTTTCTTATATTCTAAAACCAGAATATTAAGTTTATAAAAAGCCAAATTCCAAAGTTTGACTCTCATTTAGATTTTCGAACAATGTTGAGTTTTGATTCGATGACAATTGAAAATGTTCAAATTTCCATCATTATGGATCATTTGTCATGATTGAGAATAATCAATGTATGAATGTAAAGAAGATTATTATTTACGATAAGCTCAGAAAATGATATATTCGAAAATAATCTAAAATTATCGAGAATCGAGAATGAGAGGAAAAAGAAAAAGTTCTAAATTGTATATTGTGCAGTCGATTGATATTTTCACTTCGTTATTTCATTCATCATATTAACAGAAAAACATAATGAAAATGTTCATTACTAGAATATGAAAACTGAAAGGTAACTGAGCGAAGCTCAATATTATTATAATGAAGGAAATGAAGATGCATTTGAGAGCCGGTGACTGAATGAGACACAGAATCTTTTCCAAGAGATAATGTTAGCCCTCCCTGAGGAGAACAGCAACCATGAGGAAAACATATCGGTTGAAATAAATATAAAATCGAGAAGAAGAGAAAAAATATGATGATAGAAAAAAAGGTAACCTGGAAAATATCGATTTCGTTGTTTCTTTCATATTCTATCTGATGAAAAGAAACTTTTCTATTTATAGAATGGCAAGAATACGAAAAACTCAGTTGAGAATAAAAAGTTCTTATAGCGCCATCTGAACAGTAGAGATAAATTCAACTCTATTAGACAGAATTCAGAAAATATTCAGATGATTCCTTGAGTATTATGAGAGTTTCTCAATGTTTTTGCCTTGTTTCCTTCTTCTACATGTTAATGTGATAATAAGAGAATGAGATGGAAAAAAAGTTCGAGCCTACTAAAGTTCAATGATTTTATTCTGAAAATCTCTTCATAGATAAAATTACTCAACAATCTCATGGCTCCATTATATGAGTTTAATAATCAAGGTTACGAGCATCATGATCACCATGATCATTACCATGAAATAATTAATGATGTTGAGAGTAATTTTTTACGGTGGATAAGATTTTCCGAGATTTTTTTCGTTTGTTATTTTTTTCTGTTTTCATAAGAATTAAAAGAGGAAATTCTTACCTCATGCAAACAAGTATATTGAATGTGATATGGAGCAACTTTCTCTTCACCTTTGATTTCGACACTGATATGAAGTCTGATGGCCCCAGAAACAGCTGATTTATCTGTTCGCTTTTCTAGATTATACCAAACGTCCATCTCACCGGAAAGGGTTCGAACTTCGATAATCGTTTGACCCAAAAAATCATCAGATTCTCGAGTTAACTTTTGTCGTAACTTTGATTTAAGGTCATTATCTTCATCCCAGACACGGACTTTGATACGATCCGATGAATTGTGACACTCAAAGTAAAACTTTTCATTCCAAACGGGATTAAGGTCTTGTGGCATAGTTCGAGTGCGTTTTTTGGTTTTACCGACTTGAACAGTTACATAGGGATCAGAAGTTCCACTTTTATCCTTTGCAATCAATCCTTGGGCACAAATAACTAATTATCACCAAGAGACAAAAAAGTAATTATTGACATACAAAAACTAGAACTTTATCTGGAAAGGATAAGAAAAAATCTCAATTATCATGGAAATGACTGAATCGCCGCGGGTAAGAACCAGAATGGATTAACGTAAAGATTAGAATCATTGATCAACTGGATTACATTGATAATTTACATTGTATTGCGATTTCAACGATTAAACTAACTATTAATACATCCAATATAAAGTAAAATCCATTGACTTTTCATACGATATTAAATGTACTATAACTAAATTGTAATGATTAACATTTAACCTAATTACATTTAATAGATTCTGATAATTGACTTGAACCAATAAAAAGTGTATAATGTTTATTCAATGGAGATGAAGAAATAACATCATCATCTATTCATTTATTTGTATTTATCTCTTTTTCTATTCACGATTAGCTGAACTTTTTCCTGATCTTTCATTATGATTACTGAGCCACTTATCATAATAATCACCATGAATAAGAAGCAGCTATCATGTTAAACCGGCTATTTATTCAGTTATCATTATTCATGATGAAAATCTTGTCTTGCTAATGAAAATGGTCCAGTTGATTATCAAATTGAAACTTTCATTTATGAAAACAATTATATTTCAACATGATGATGAAGAATCTGAGTTTTCGAGAAAAATAAAAGAGTTAAGTTTAGATCAATCTCTCAATTGATTCATGGAGGTTTTTTGAAACTTTTTTCTTTCTTGTTCTTTTCACCTGCAATATCGGCTTCTGTTAATAGATGTTAGTAGATAATGAATATGATTGATGAACCTGTCACCGAGAATGTAACAGAAAATACATATAATCAACCTCAATTAGTTAGAATGAAAGTTGGCTGTTCAATCTGATACTGATTAACTTGGAACTCAACTCAGGTCTGAATACAGTTTTCAGGGTGAAATGTAAGGAAAGTTGCACCATTCTGGCTCTTTTTTTTTCTTTCAAGGGAAAAAGCATTTTTTGTAAGATGATTATAAGAAGAAATGAGAATGATGGTAGTAGTATAGGAAGCTCTGACGACGCTCCGCCCCGTGGGCGGAGCGTCGTCAGAGCTTCCTTGTTAATTAATTAAAATTGAGGCGTTAGTTTATATTAATTAGTATCAACAATTAATAAAAACAGAAGAGTTAATCGTCACAAATTAAATCAATTAAAATTGTAATTAAAAGCCTCAAGATTTTTGATTAGCAATATAGCCAACGCGTAAATGAATAAAAATTAACAACCCATAGTAGTCATTATGAAAAGAATTTAATTAAAAACGGAAAATTAAGGTTACATAGGGTGGTTATATAGTTTAGAATATTAATTATAATCAGTGGTTACAGTACCAACGTTGTCTATTTGAATGATATTATCATACTCGCAAAAAAGAAGGAGAGTAGCTGTAGAAGTGAGAGCTGATTTGAATTGGAATTCAACTCTCATCGTACCGTATTTGGGTGTGTTTATGTACCGTATTTACCAGGAGCATTATCAGGAGAAAATCAAAAGCTATTAAGGGAAGTTATCTTTGTATGTATCAAAATCGTAATTAAAATTGTTTGAATCTCCGAGAACATCATGGACCTCTGAAAGCGGTCATGCAACAAAACGAGCTGAAGTCTGTCTCAATAGGTCTGCTAGGATATTGCTCACCATTTACAGAGACATTTTTATGAGGTTAAAATGCTTGAAGCGATAAGGGCTCGAAGATAAACTTCCTTCAAAACTGGTATTATCCATGAAAGCTGCAAAGCATCGTCTAGGTATTTGCCCTACTATAGCATTGTCGATGATACCACTCGGTGAAGTACTATGTATAGTGAAATACTTTACTCTCTTCTAGTAATCGGGTACTTTAAAGGACTTGATTTCAAGGCGTTTTTAAGAGCAGATTGCATAAGTGGTGTCATTTTATATTTATGTACAGAAAGATAAGCATCCTTGAGAGCCAATTCAGGTTTGAATAAAGCCGAATCTTGTGTATAAAAATAAAATCAGACTTTTGTTGATAAAGCTTTATACGGATTGAATTGATCCGGTAGTGGTCTATACTGGGTTGCTAAATCGAAATCTAGAGCACCAATGATCTCCACTACCTGTCCCTCTTCATCCCTTTAGAGTTATCTTCAGTAAAGATAGGTCTTATCGGTTCTGATCTAAATGTTGATACGTTATCAGTAATAGAAGCGAGTTTTCAAACCAATACGCAGCTCTTCCTGGTCCTAGTTTATCATAATAACTTTTATTTAGCAAAGTATGAAAAAAACTGATATAGCTGAATGTTGAACATGATGTTGATACTTGTTTGTCTCCAATTGAGACTTCTACATCTCGGAAAATACCATTAAGAGCGTTTTGACAAAGCTCTAAGTTTTTCCATTGAGCTTCAGTAGGCTTTTCTTTCCCTACAGGTTTAAATTTAACGTTGAATTTTAAATATAAACGAGTTCTAGCTAACGAAATCAATTCGTCGTCGTTTCCTGTAATATAAAATTCTATCGGACTTTCAGCGTTAATAACTGCTAGAGGTCTAAAGAGATTTGGGATGATTTTTCAATCTGATTTGTTATCGGAGGTAATTTGAATAAGTCCAACTCGGGAAGAAGAAACATTTCATGTAACTTAGTTGATGACATTGTCAATAAATTTAAAGTTGTTCTTTTTCAATTTTTTCACTTTTGGTCTAGAAAGTTTTGCTGATTTTTTTGTGGTAGTTTTTTTATTACTTTGTTGTTTACTACTCCGTTGTTTCTTCTTGAATGTTCTTTTTTTAGTAGTAGGTTTATTAATAACCTTTTTATTAGTATTAGGAGAAACAGGTTGTGAAGGAGCTCTTTTCTTTCTAGACTTGATTATTTTAGATTGAATTTTTGCTGGTTTATCATCTTTCCTAGCGATTTGATTTTTATAGTACTCAAAAAGATTATCAATACGCATCATGTTGAAAATGAAGTGTAACGATTGTTGTTCCTGTTGTAAATGAAGCGTTTGCACGTGAATTATCCTTTATATTGATAGATACTGCCTCTAAATCTGTTATCTTTACGTTTCTAACCTGTTCTTTATCAAATTGTATAAAAAAGATTTTCCAAATTTAGAGAAATAGGGCTGTCACGTAGTTCAAAATTTGTTTCTCTCCTCCACCAACACAAATAGGTTCTATTATGTTAGTTTCAACAGTTAAAACTTCATTTTGAAAGAAAGGTATAATTGGATGTTGGCTTACGATCGTATGTTGATTTACCATAAGAGGAGGTAAACCTAACACCTTGTTCGTTTCTTCGTCGAAAACTGGAAGTATTTTAACTTTGGTGCCATCTTGTAAAGGTATCAAGCCTGGTGATATAGCTATTGTTTTGCCATTTGGATTGAAATACATGTCTATTTGGGTTTCAAATATATCATCTTGGACAGCAGATATAAGATGTTTTATGAGGTCACTAGCGTTGTTTTTCCAATCAAAAACAGTTTCTAAGGGTGGTAATACACTATACGGTTTAAGAGTTGTAGAATCAACAAATCTAATCGTAATATTTCTTTTTGATATCCAAGTAATAGGGATAACTATTTGAGTTAGACTAACTTTCCAGGAGCCTGATAAATTCAGTCTTTTAGCTAATTGGTTTTAAATCTCCCAGGAGAGTTATCAGAAAGAGCTCTTTACAAGCATCACTTCTCAGGATAATATCAAAATTTTGCGGAATCATTTAGATAAATTAGAATCTGAACTTTTCTTGTTTAGAACAAAAGGAGATGGTAAAATATATCCAAGACAACTGCTCATTAGCGATATCCAAAGTGATTCTCTTTCAATACCTAAACTCAAATTTATAATACTCACGAGGATGACTATTACGATGATGACAATCTGCGCTATGAATAGAACATATTCAGGGTTTTATTATAATTATAATCAGTATCATTTATAATTGTTAATTTCTGATTCGAGATCCACTTGTTAAACCTTGAGGAGTCCAACCCATTTGACCTTATACCAGTAACATCCATTAGAGAATTTTTCTTTAGAACAGAATCAACTTTGAATGTTTTATTAGCACTAAAGTTTACTTTTTGAATCTCCTCTTTATAATATCGTTGGAGGGTTTCGTCTCCTTGTTTATTTCTAAGCTTAAAAGTATCTTTTTTATCTCCTGATATATTTCCAGTAACGTTGAATGTTTCTTTAGACCAATTAGGTAAATATCCTCTATTGAAAGCACCAAGATGTTTTCCAATTCGAACTGTGTCTCCAAATAAGATACTTTCATCATTATTCAGTCTTTTATTCATTATTTCTTGGCCGTAAGACTTGTTAAACAATAAATCACTTCTAAGACTAACGGCTTTTCTAGGAGTTGTTTTAATTGAACGATGAATGCTATCATTATAAGCTGTAACTATGTTAGGTAACTGGTTTACCCAACGTTTGGTATTATTACTAGTCATGAATCTGAATATTTTGTTTTTTATGGTTCTATTAAAACGTTCAACTAAAGCACATTTTATTGTTTGATTTCTTGTGGTAAAGAAATCAACTTCTTCTTTAGCAAGAAAATCTTTAACAATACCATTTACAAACTCTTTACCTCGATCTGTTTGTAGATAGAGAGGTTTATGTTCACTGAAAACTTTTTTCAAAGATTTAACGATCTCGTTTGGTTTTTTAGATTTAATAGCTATACCCCAAGCGTATCTAGATAGTACATCTATAACTGTTAGAATATATTTATAACCGTAGTTACTTTTTTCTAATGATCTCATATCTGCTAGATCAGCCTGAAATTGAAACATTTGATGAGGAGCCCATGTTTTGTTTCTGATGAATTTTCGTTTTATTTGTTTGTGTAGAGTGTAGGCATCTTGTTTAGATAACCATTTTGTTACTTGTAATCGTGTTATACCATGTTTCGATACAGCCTTGAATAAAGGTTCAACCCCACCTAGACTACTTGGCTTAACAGGATCGTAGTAGTGAGA